CACTTGTCTCGACCGACCCGTTGCTGCCATCGAGCCCACCAAACGTGCGCTTCGTGGCACGCCTGGAGCCAGCTATACATGTGCCGATAGTCGTGGCAGCAGAGATCTATCGCCTGGTCGGGATAACGCTGCAGCAGCATGAGACGAGGCCGCCAGCCGCCTACGACGCGCTTGTGGTACCTGTCGAGCGGCGGGCACCAAGAAGCGGAAAGGGGGAGCATGTGAGGATGGTACCTATCTTTGGCCAAACAGAGAAGAAGACGGGAACAGGAGAAGAAGAAAAAGGAGCGGACGAGGTGACGAGGAAGAAGCATGTGTACAGTTTTCATGCCCTGGAGCATGTGCCTGGCTACACGGTGAGAGAGCTGCCCTTCTCGCACCCTCGACAGATAGAGGAGGCCATCCCCCTGCTTCGACAGTACGCTCTACTCGGCAAACTACTCAGCGTCTTCCCGCTGGCCAACACTAAAAGTGATAGTAACCCTGACGAGAACAAGGACGGTGAAGATGAAGATGAAGAAGATGATGAAGTAGACGACGAAGATGATAAGGAGGAAGACGGTGATCAAGTGAACAACGTGGATGCAGCTGAGGCTCGGCTGAACTCTCTTCTATCATCCTCAACCAACGACAACAGCAACAGCAACAACAACACCAGCATCGACGAGACGAAGCGCATCTCGGTCAGCCTGCGCACACCCATCTCGTCACCGCCGAGCCTGCTGGTCGTCTTCCCCCTGACTCCCTCCCGCACAGCCAGCGTGACGGTCGAGGTCCTCGCCGACGGCCGGCTGCGTGTCCCCTGCACCAACGGGATCATCGAGAGCTCTGGGTCCGACACGCGAGCAGCCGAGGAGCAGCAGCAGGAGGATGATAAGAGGAAGGAGAAGCTCTGTGGCTTGCTGGGGCGCGTCCTGGAGACATGCGAAGATCTGGGGTTGCTGGTCGAGTCCGCCTGTAGGTACGCCGTCCGCCAGAGTCGAGGTCAACCAACGAGCTAGAAAAGTAGAAGGAGCCGTAGCTGTTTATTACATAAGCCTCACAGGCACAAGACCTCGGCAGCAACTTATGTCATCCCTATTACTCATCCTCTTTTTTTTTCTCGCTTCGTCTCCTTTTTCCGCTTTTCTTGTCGTTCTTGTCTTTCCTGTCGGCTTCTGGTCGTGTTGCCCAACCAACCAGGCGTCTCGTTCTTATCGCAGCCAACCCGAGCCTGGCAGCCCATGGAGCCGTCCAGCCTTCCAGCCAGCCAGCCACAGGGCGCAGCGCCAGCCTGGGATCAGTAACTGCAGAAACAAGCGGTAACCATGGCAGCAGTCCCTGTCGCCCAGCTGCCCAGTAGGAGTGACAGCATAGTAACAGCAACAGCAGCAACCCGACCATGCACTCCGAACTCCGTGCTCCGTACCTGCCTGCAAGAGGACTCTAGAACCGCAGCGCCCGCCCTCGTAACAGCAAGCGACCTGACAGCAGTGAAACAGCCGATCAGATCAGATCAGCCCGGGTCTCAGGTCTCAGGTCTCACCGCCTTCCGCCTCTGCCGCCCTCGTCTTCCTTTTCCTCGCTGTCTCGCTCGTCCTTCTATGAGGGATTTCTTTCTTATCTGCGTCGCTCCCCCTTATCTCCCTCGGCTCTGCTGCCCCCCGCTTGTCCTTATCGGGCGATCTCGCACCGCCACCAGAAAAGTGGGTCCTCCCTGTCCCTCTGTCCCCCTTGCTCCCCGCCGTCTTCTTCCGGCTTTCTTCCGGGCCTCGTTTTTCTATTTTTGGGCGGTGGCTTACTTAAGCGGCCTGAGACGTCCCTTACGTCATCCACGTCCAAGGCAAAGCAGCAAGAGGAAAGGAAAAAACTTTGCTTTGCGCGTTCTTTGCCTTCTTTTTAAACACACTCAAAACCCGCTTTTTTCTTCTATTTTCTTCCTCTCTCTTATTTCTATATTCTTATCTCCTTCTCTTCTCTCTTCTTCCTCTTTTCTGGTTCTGCGTCTCAGAAGTCTCAGATAGTTGCGTCTTACTCGCTTTCTTCTTCTCTCTTGCTCCGCTCCATCGCTTGCTCTTGACTCGACTGTCGCTTCTTGCTTATCGCTGCTCTATCTACCGTCCAAGCAGGACTTATCTCCTTGTTGATCTCTCATCATGGTGGGTTACAACAACAACAACATCCAAACTCAAGACGAAGAAGGAGAAGAAACTAACGATCATGTCTGTCCAGGCGAACACTCGTCGATCCGATGCTGCTAATGTGTGTGCCCTCGCTTGCTCCCCTGTCGCCGTCGCTGTTGCCGGCGGCTGGTGGCGTCGAGTCATAGCCCGATCACAATAACTAACCATCTTCCCTTTCTTGCAGCTTCAAAAATACATGAGCCTCGACCAGCGTGGAAAGGTCCTCGCTGAGTACGTCTGGGTAGATGCTCACGGTGGTGTTCGCTCAAAAACAAAGGTTCGTTTAATATTCTTTTTTTGATATTTTTTTTTGTTGTGGTCCACCCTTGCTCGACCTCGCCTGGTTCCTGCATTAGCCCCCAGTCAAAATACCCCTCCATACAGCACACAGACACAGACACACAGTGACTGCTGCTGGGATGGTGTGTATAGTTGGAGAGCTGTCAGAGTGATCTGCATGGCCAGGCGTGGTGATGGTGGCTGTCTTGCTTCGTCATGGTTAATACTGACTTCGTTACCAGACCCTCAGCCAATCTGTCTCGTCGCCCGATGAGCTCCCAGAATGGAACTTCGACGGCTCCTCCACAAGTCAGGCTCCCGGCCACGACTCAGACGTCTACCTTCGTCCCTGCGCCATCTTCCCTGACCCCTTCCGTGGCGGTGACAACATCCTCGTCCTCTGCGAGACCTGGGACGCCGATGGCTCCCCCAACAAGTACAACTACCGCCACGAGGCTGCTCGTCTCATGCGCACCCACGAAAAGGAACAGTTCTGGTTCGGTCTAGAACAAGAGTACACCCTCCTCGACGCTGATGGCTGGCCCTTCGGATGGCCCAAGGGTGGTTACCCCGGTGCCCAGGGCCCTTACTACTGCGGTGTCGGTACCGGCAAGGCCCAGTGCCGTGACATCGTCGATGCTCACTACAAGGCCTGTCTCTACGCCGGCATCAGCATCTCCGGTATCAACGCCGAGGTCATGCCTTCTCAGTGGGAGTACCAAGTCGGTCCTTGCGAGGGCATCAACCGTAAGTCCTTCATTTTACGTCTTTTTTTTTTTATTCTGCAGTACTAATAAGCGTATAGTTGGTGACCAGCTCTGGATGTCTCGTTTCCTCCTCAACCGTGTCGCCGAAGACTTCGGTGTCGTCATCAGCTTTGCCCCCAAGCCCATCCCCGGTGACTGGAACGGCGCTGGTCTCCACTCCAACGTCTCAACGGCTGCCATGCGTGCCGAGGGTGGTATGAAGGTCATCGAAGCCGCCATGAAGAAGCTCGAGGCCCGTCACCCAGAGCACATCGCTGTCTACGGTGAGGGTAACGAGGACCGTCTCACTGGCCGTCACGAGACCGGCAGCATCGACAAGTTCAGCTGGGGTGTCGCCGACCGTGGTGGCAGCATCCGTATCCCCAGACAGTGTGCAAAGGACGGAAAGGGCTATTTCGAAGACCGAAGACCCGCCAGTAACGCGGATCCCTACCAGATCACCGGTATCATCGTTGAAACTGTAAGCCTTTCCTCTCATCTAATATACTTACCTCCACTATTAAAATATTATTTACTAACATCTTCTCTAGCTCTGTGGAAGTGATTAAGTCCAACGAGATACCTATGTCGAAATGCATTTCCTACCTTTCCCTTTTCCGTTTCTCCAAGACTCAACACACTTAATGCCTTTTAATTAGATCTTCCATGCTTCGATGCCCATTTTTATATTTCTTGTCCTCAAGCCTGTCCATGTCTAGCTTATGTCGCTTACCCTTACCCCCTCATGTCTGCTGTTTAATTGTCTATCCATCACTCCTTGCAATATGTCAGTCGCACACACACATACATGCTGCATATTGCTCCCACTGAAACCGTGGGATCGCGTTTTTTGTCAGTTCAGTTCGGCTCTACATTTTACTCTTTTTTTCTTCCTTATCCCAAGCAAAGAAAAGAAAAGAGAAAAAAAAAAGATGAAAGAAAAGTCCCGCTGAGGCCGACTAACTATTATTATTGTTATTATCACGGTGTTTACTTCTACGGAGTACTTCGTTATATCCTTACATTAATTCATACCACCCGGCGAACCAGATACATCTCTGTTTGTTTGCTTGCTGTTTCGTCAGCGTTACAACCAAAACCCTTCCTTCATACACTTACACTTACATGTGTTTTCTACGGAGTTCACTCGTCTTCGTCTTCTGCCTGTGTGTTTTTACCTGCGTTATGCGGTAGATAACCCAGTCTTTTCTCCCACTTTAACTTAGTTAAGAGACAAGAGCGCCCTTTGAGCAGAGAGAAATCACACTCATTTCCCCCCACAAAAAAATCCCCTCCCACCATGTTTCAGTGTGCGTAGTTAGTTCGTTTCGTAGTCTGTTACCATAAGAGGCTTTGTGCGGTTAATCTCCGATCTTGGTGTTTCATGGCTCGGCTGTTTACTTGGCTGTTTGGTTCTCTGCGAACTGCTTGCTTGCTCGCTGGACGGATGGATGAACGGCAACGTCCAGCCGAGATGAGATGAGATGGAAGGATTTGATGTGGTGGCCTTGCATTGCAGCATGCAGCTTGTGCATGTTAAGAACCGATTGGGCGTTCGGAAGATACCGGCCGCTGTTTATGCAGGGAGCGAGAGATATGAGCGCTGATATCCGAGGCCAGGCCCTGGTTAGTTGCCAAGTTGAGTGATTTTGATAACAGTTGGATGGCTGTACGGAGTAGTGAAGATTGAATGAATGGCCTTAGGCCTAGTTATTAACTGACTAGGTGATATATCACTTTTTATCCAAATACCCGGATATCATACACACAGTTACTTTTCATTTCATCAACCATTTCGCCCACCATACGCCTCTCCAACCGCGCTGCTCTTCCTTCTGCTTGCCCCATACAATCATCCCCACGGCCACTGCTGCAACAATACTACCCCCAACAATACCGCACATCACACCGTTGCTCCCTCTATACCCCCTCTTCACATCTCCTTCCCAGCCCGTGTACAGCGCATAGGTGCTCACGATACTCCCCAGGTTGCCCAGCCCGCTCACTATAGCGGTTGATGCAGCAACGCCAACGTCGCCGTATCTTGCTCCAAACAGCTCGGCCGTCAGGGACATGGTGATGGGCACTGTTGGGCCTAGACCAAAGCCTACGATCAACAGCCCGCCGTATGCAGTCCAGGTGTGCGTGAAAGTCGTAAGCAGCAGGCCGGTAAGTAATATCAGACACGAGAAGATGAATATTGCCGGTCTGTGGTGGTGGAATGCATCTGATATCGGCGTCATGATCAGTATCGCTATCAGGTCCATCACCCAGATCGGTGCGAAGAGTAAAGACAGCTGCACGCCCGTCAGAGAAGGGATGGCGGCACGGATGATGACCGTGCCGTAACTCTGCACTCCGATGCCGACGCCCACGACGCCAAAGTACATTATTGTCACGGGCCAGAGGCGCCAGTCGCATAGTATGCGCAGAATATCCGACCATCCCCACTGTACTTTCTTGTACACGCGCTGAACATCGGCGTAGTGCAGCTCTTCGTCCCGGCCTGATAGAGCCGGTTTGGTGTTGGGTATCCATCGAAGCCAGGCCGAGCGAGGTGGATGGGACTCGCCTGGTGGCACAGGTCGGTCTGGTAGCCACCATAGCAACGTTATGCCCATTAAAGTACCCGCGAGACCCCAGATAAGGAACATCCATTGGAACCCCGCGAGGCCTCCCAGGCCGTCCATTTTCTGGAACCCTGCTGACACTAGGCCGACGACTGCAGCTGAGACCTGAGCGGCTGTGAAGTAGAAGCCGATACGCTGGCCGGTGCGGGCTGGAGGGTAGAAAAGTGATAGATAGTATGCCATGCCTGGCCACATGCCTGCTATCACGATTCCAAGAAGAAGACGGAGGAGGCTAGAATTTCAGTACTCTTTGGTTAGATATTGGGAACTGGTGTACTCCGTATTGTATGGGCTGACAGGGCGTATACGTACTACAACGACCATGCGGCTTTGACAGCTGCCATCAACGCTCCAATAACACCAACACTGATGACGATTCGGCTCATCCAGACATGAGGGCTCAGTCTGGTCATGATCAGGTTCGAAGGCAGATCGAATATGATATAGCACACATAGAACAGGGCCAAACTCGTCGAGATTTGCCGGGGCGTCAGATGTAGCACTGAGCCCAGGTCATGATGCTCCTTCAGATTCATCGTCTGTGCCAGCCCGACATTGGATCGGATCGCAGAACAGAGGAAGTAGAGCGTCCATAGTGGCGGGATGATTCGCAGGTCTAGTTTGCGATAGATACGGTCCAGCGTCTCGTCATCTGCTTCGTTGTCTCCGGTAAATGGAGGTTCTCTCTGCTCTTTCGGTCCGCTGGATCCGGAGTCCTCGTCCTTGAGCCAGTTATTCTCCATCATCGTGAACTTGCAGATTGAAAGTATGGAGAATCTGATAGCTCAATAGTTATGGAGATTCCTTGACCCGCTAACTAGTTAACTAGCTAGTTGGCTGGCCAATTCCCAGACGAAGCAGCCTGTCAAGTAGTCGTTCGAGACAGTTGGAGAGTCTACTCATTCGTCAGCCTCGAGGTGAAGAAAACTTCTCGAAGGATAAGTTATTTTTAAAATGTGTCAGTGCGGGAAATACGACCTTACTGGTTCTTTACTGGTAAGGGGGTATTCTGGATAGGTTCCTGGCTGATTCTGCAGAATATCTAGCTCCTTGGCCGGCCTGCAAGACAGAACAACCCTGTAGTGCTCTGGGTAACTAGTCGACGGGGGAGCGGATGTCCCGCGGGCTGGCTGGCTGGCTGGCTGGCGATGTCCAATCCCTGCTACAGATAAATACCGGGGTTGCCTGTACTCTGCCCTCGCTGCGTTTGTCTGTTGGTCTTTTAATCTTTTCTGCGGCCCAGAGCAGTTATCCGGACGGACGACAGAGGATGGACGTATTTAATTGCCTTGCGACGTCGTTGTTGCGCCCATCTCGAGTCTTTCGCGACAAGTCGTTCTTTTTTCCTTTCCCGCCCATCTTGGCTGACTAAGATGGAGATTCTCTGTGCAATAACATTTTAACGACTCCCAACAGCCAACGGCTTTGGCTACATTTTCATTCGCTGCTTAATGCTACATCCACGGGTGTTTGTATACACTATGATACCAGAAATATGCAGGGGAGAGTACGGATATTTATATTCGCAGAACACGCAAGGCAGCAACTTTCCAAACCGTCGATCAATGCATTTCCTTTTGTTATCCATGCAACATGAATGGTCCTTCCACTCGGCTGAGAGTCCCCGGAGCGCAAGCTATGCATCCCGTCCATAGGCTAGACAGCCTCCAACCACGGCATAATTACACTATTTTACCCCTGCTGATGCATATTGTTGCATAATGTCCGCACAGGTCCACGGGTCAGAGGCTCGGGTAGTCGGCCATCCCATAAGCTTGCGGTACGGCGTACAGGGCATGATATGGTAGCCTAAAACGACATCCCACCTTGTTTGGCTGAGCAGAACGAGGCGACCTCAAAAGCTCTTATTATAAATATCTATATCCTACATAGTAGCACCTTTGACTAGCGGCAGGTTTTACAGTAAAAGGAGCGGAACACTCATAAGATGGCAACCGAAGGCTTTCCAAGCCACCCTTTCTTTGAAAGACTCGTCGAGAGTGTCCCCTTGAATGATGGGATTATCATACATGATCCTAACAATGATATAACTGCTACCTTTGATCGTTTCTTGAACGACGTTATCGAGCTGCGACGCACCATCCGCGAACAAGTTCCAGATCTTCTCGACTCTAATGGGATCGTCCGTGAAGAAGGTGTTTATATCTGCACTCTTGCACCAGCCAGTTATGAGTTTTTCGTGGCTACCTTTGCTGCATGGGCAGTGGGAGCTGCAGTTTCACCACTTGGTATGTGTTATTTTCCCCATCTTACTGGAATATCATATCTTGTGGATGTTAACGACTCTCTTATCCGTAGCAACTGGCCTTACCCCGCAGGAGATATCATTTCTGATCCAAAGGAACAAAGCTGTGCTTCTTATAGCCAGCGCTAGTCAGCGCAACGCTGCTGCTGAAGCCCAGAAATGCATGAAAAACGAAACTGGGAAGACCATCAATATCATCGGCGTAGACCTCACCGTTCCGGTCCCGTCTACAAAACGCCAGTATCATATTGATGAGAATGTCGTCTTATCCCCGCAGCGGCCATTCATTCTCCTCCTTACATCTGGCACCACTGGCCCGCCTAAGGGGGTTGTGCGTAAAATGCCGGCGTACGACCTCCGTGGCATGACTGGAGCTACAAATGATGACCTCGCTTTGTGCCACCGTGCCATCCATTGGGGTTTCGGAATCTATCCTCCAGTAGCTACGATCTCGAACGGGCTATCCGTATACATCGTTGATGCGGACCCCAGCCCACAGCAAATATGGGAGGTTTTCCGCCAGAAGAAGCTGACGATGGCTTATGCTACGAATTTGACCTTGCTTCGCCTGATGGAATATTACAAAGAGCACCTGGCTGGACTCGAGCCTGAAAAGCTAAAAGAGTATAGTGAAGGAATGAAGAAACTCAAATATATCGGCTGTGGTGGTACGGTCCCCATGCCATCTGTAGGACTGTTCTGGAAAGATATGCGTGGCGGCCAGCCCATCACCATTCTTTATGGCACATCTGAGGCCGGTGGAGGGTTGACCACTACTCCTGAAGGTTATGATGTCACCAAGGTACGTCGGCTTTTATCCCTCTTAGGCTTCTCAGCTCCCCCTTTTTAACATGTCATTATGGGTAGCGTGTTATTGGCAAACCGATGCCCGGTGTCCAAGTGAAACTTTCCGAAGGCGACCACGGAGAGGTTCTGATAAAAAGCAATGACCTGTTTCTTGGGTAAGATCTACTAGGTATTGCTAGCTCTGTTGGAATTATGCTAACTCCATCATAGATACCTTGGTAATGAGGCTGCTACAAAGGCAGCATTCGATGAGGATGGGTTCTACAAAACAGGTGACTTGGTGCACATAGAAGAGGATGGAAATTACGTCATTGATGGTCGAGTCAACGAGGACTGTGAGTACATATTTATCCCTCATTCAAAAGAGAAAAAAACCATCATACTTACTTCCCCAACAGTTGTCCGATCAAGAACCCTGAAAGTGGGAATTCTTGAGCTCGAAGATAAGTTATCAGAGCTGCCTTACATAGCGGAAGCATTCGTCGTCGCCGTTCCGGACATGGAGATCTTGCATAGAGTAGCTGTCATTGCCCGTCTCAAGCCTTCGTTCAAAGAGGAAAATACCAATGGCATAGGCTCGGAGGGAAATTCCACACCAAACATGCTATTTAAAATGAGGCGAGACCTCACAGACCTGAAGGTTGCGCAGTATAAGCTTCCAACCCTTCTACGCATCCTCAAAGATGACGATATCATTCCACGGACAACGACCGACAAAGTAATTCGAAAGAAGGTTATACAGGCTTACTTCCCTCAATCTGCTGACTGCAGGGTAGAGGATTTGCCCAAGGAGGTACTTGTCTGGGATCTGAAGAACGACAAAAACGCTGAATCAACGGGGCTGTGGGACTGGGCTGCTGCTCAGGACTGAGTCTGATAAGTTGTGTTCCATGGTATATTCTGCATACACATACCTGTCACGGATAAGATACATTTTCTACGCCGGCTTGTCATATGAATTGGAAACAAGTTACAGCTATATTTTCCTGAAATGGCATGTCAGATTATTATTCCAGAATTAGGAGATACACAGAAATTTATACCTGATGCTATGGCCATTTTTCACACTTAATTACTGAAAATAGTTATTCTCTAGTCACCCTTATCCCAATCCATATCAATTTTAATATCATCTGCATCAACAGAGCCTATATTTCCTCTGGCAGCAAGTTCCTTATCAAGTGCCTCGAAGAGCCTATCTAGATATATCTTTTCACCAGATATGGTTAATGCAGCACTGAGACCAATGAAAATCGATGCCTCAAAGCAAGCCCTTGCAATCTTAGCAAAGGGTTCTTGCCCAACGATACAATAACTTGAACTGTTGTCTCCAGAACAGCCACTAGGGAGGCTGAAACCGCGCCTCTTGAAGCTAAAGTGGAATATCTCAACAGTAAGCCTCTCCAAAGCTTGGAGTTTCTGAAACTTTCATTATTTTGTACCCTTCAGATGGCTTTTCGAGCTCTTTCTGCCATTTTGAGCCTGGGGTTTGGATGGCTATCTGAATATTGCATAACCGTGGGCCTCGAGGAACATACTTGTATCTTTTTTTTTTGCTGCCTCCTGTCTTGGAAGAATTCCTTCCAGGTAATATTCTGTATAGTATGGATAGAAAGTAATCTCCCGGAAGAATATCAGAAAGCTCTCGTTTATATCAATATTCAGCGCTTTCATTAGGGTTTTCTTTCCCGTTAATTTAGGCAGTTCTATATTTCCTGTTAGACACACTTTACTCCGGTGGAGGCTGTCACGTACCTTCATTTTCCGTTGGGATATTCTACTTTAGCTAGGCTCGCACACATTACCCGAGGATACCTTGGGGCATTAGGCCTTTTGTTCTTTGTGGTCCAACATCTTCTGAGTCACTGTCATCGTAAGCCAGCTGGCTATTTGATTCCTGCGATAAAAAGCCGTCGAGGTATTCCGTGGTTACTAGAGTGGTTTCTTAAGAGAAAGGAAAGGAGAAACCTAGGCTGTTTATTGAGCTTTTATAGAGTGCCACTAACTACCATAGGGGAAATAAGTGAATTGAAAAAACCGTGAAGTCCAAAAATTACGTATAAATAACTGTGAATTTCAGGGTTTTTTCAATTCACTTATTTCCTCTATGGTAGTTAAAGAATGAGAAAAACAAAGATCAGAGAGAGATTTGGTCATCACTTTCTCATTTCTAGACTAAGATGACTTCACTTTTCCATGACTAGAGGGTAATCAACATCAAACCGAGTGATGCGGGCGTAGTAAGATAGGCACAGAGGTCAAGCTCTCTTTTGTCTCGGCCCGAGCCGAGTCTATCACATGACTGGAAATTGCAGTGAGCTGACTAGTTACATAGTTAACTAACTAATGCTCCGTAGGGTTAACTATTTCAAGTAAGCTAAAAACGGCGAGCGCGCGCGGCTTTGCCGTTGATGGCTGGCTATATCTTTGACATAGCTATTACAATTTTGACGACCCCCTCGTACCACGCCCATAACGGCTATGGTTGAGCTATCTCAAGAGGATCGCGACATCATTGCAGAGAATCCATTAGATTACTCTTTGGTCCTCTTGCAAGGCCTGCTTCAGGAGGCCGAACAGGCACAAGATGATTCATCAGCACAGGATGAAACCCGCAAAAGAGTGATAAGAAGGCTTCTCTCTACCCTACAGGGAGAAGATGCTGCGTCTAAGCTTCGATCGCGTGTCAGTGATCAATACGTTGACTCCGACCTTGCACTTTTATTCAGGCGCTACCGACAAGAACGCTTCAAGTACGACCGCTTTCGAGTGCTGGTGCAGCTCATCCTCCAAAAGGCAGCTGTCCTCGACCTTATCGCTACCATCTCGCGTTCCACCCCTCCGGCGAGCGATCCGCCCTCGCTCGGTGGCACACCTTTCACTCATTCCTTAGCTTCACAGCAAGGTAGCGAACAAACGCGTCGGTTGGTGGAAGCTAGGGTCTTTGACGAGATTAAACACTGCACGTATCGGGACGTTGAGGGTTTCTTCACAAAATTCTTCGAGGGAAAGGACTGGACTCCGCGTACTACAGGAATATACCAGACGATCAAAGAGCGACAGGTGGAGGGCAGCTGGACTGACTTCCCCGATCCACCCGTGCAAGCCAAAGTCCTGCAGTGGTGGAATGAATTTCAGAAAGAATTTCTCCCTGAGGAAAGAGGCCGCTTTTATACGATAAAGAACCCGAAGAATCTCGCCGGTAGCGAAGCTCAGCGCCAAATTGACCTCGTGGTGAAGCGCAACGATGGCCAGGAACTGAGTATGGATTCTGATTCAGTTCATAACTGGAAAGATGTGGATGTGATTGGTGAGCTCAAGCAGTCCAACTACGACAAAAAAGGGACACTTCTCCAGCTCGGCCGATATGTGCGTGATGTCTTCTCCTGTCAGCCGACGCGTCGGTACATCCACGCGTTTACGCTCTGTGGCAGTGAAATGGAAGCTTGGGTATTCGACCGTTCGGGGTCATACGGCCCTGGTCCCTTTGACATCCATGACCAGCCAGAACGGTTCATACAAGTTATCGCTGGGTACACTATGATGAGTGAGGCCGAGCTCGGACGTGACACATTTACGGAGTGGGATGCCGACAGCTGTAGTATATCGATTGACTGTGGCGAGACGAGGGACATGGCCAAGCTACAGCTTCTGCAGGATCCGATCACCTACCAACGAGCTATTGTCTGCCGTGGGACAGCTTGTTTTCTTACTAAGACGCCCAACTGTAGAGGCTATGACTGTGTCTCTAAATTTTCGTGGACATCTGACCAGCGACGGCCAGAGGCAGACCTCCTTGAGTTAGCTGCCAGCAGAGGAGTAAAGGGCATAGCAAGTGTAGTTGGTCATCAACAGATAACAAGCATCACTGAGATGCGCTCAGGGATGGTATTCGGAAAACCATATAAGTTTCAGAGCATACCGAGTGCTTTGTCGCCACTTTCGCAGTCTTCCTCGCACCTTCACGGCTCAAGCACCACCGAAAGCCAGCCTAGAAAACGAAAATCCGGAGATGTTGGAAGGAAACAGTCCAAGCAATCGAGGACCAGCAGTCTGAAGTCAAACAAACTCAAGAATGAGGTCACATACGACGTTGAAGAGGCTCAGAGCACCAGTCTCTTCACAGCTGGTAAAGATGGCCCATACGATAATCGCATCTTTCGGTGTTTGGTGGTCTCCCCGGCCGGCCGAGCACTCCACAGATTCAAGAAGATATCAGAACTCCTATGTGCCCTCCGCGATGCCGTGAAGGCTCACAGATCCCTGTACCTTAAAGGGAACATTCTCCACCGAGACATTTCGGAGAATAATATCATCATAACTGATCCTCAAAAAACTGACGGTGTGACGGGCATGTTAATAGACTTGGATCTTGCCAAAGAGCTCAGTAGTGGCAGTAGTGGTGCACGCTGTCGCACCGGCACAATGGAGTTTATGGCGATTGAGGTGCTTCTTGGAATTTCTCACACCTAATGATCTTGAGTCTTTCTTCTACGTCCTTATCTGGCAGTGTGCTCGCCACGGGTGGAGATTTTCCGGTAACCCAAAGGGCCAACCAGAAGACAGTCTGTTGATAAAGTGGTATACTGATACCTTTAGGAATATTGCAGGAACCAAACGAGGTGACATGGGAGTCGACGGGTTTGAGGACATCTTGGAAGAATTTCCATCATCTTTTGAATGTGTTAAACCGCTCTGCAGGGAAATTAGGGGCATCCTGTTTCCTTACAAAGATGGGCTCTTCACCGGGACACCCAGGAACCCAGAGGTTCTCTACGAGCCGACAATACGGGCGTTTGATCAGTCTATAGAAGACATAAAAACTACAGAAACGTAGCGTCAAACCCTGACGTTCGGTTTAAAAATGGCGAGCTTGCTCTAATCGGTTGCAGAGGACTGGTTATATCTTTGACCAATAGTTATATCGAGTCCGCTGGTTGTCAACCTTTTCTTCTCGACTGACTGGTTCGAAGCTCATTCAATGTAGCATAGATGAAATCCCACTGCACGATTGCTGCCTGGAGCCATGTAGGCTTTTCTATAGTCCTTTCTAGAAGGACGATACCATAGCGGCTGCGCAAGATGTGGTAGAACCTCTAGCTACTCGTACCCCTTTCACTGCTGCGACCCCATCTCAAACAACGGTGCATGATCGGCTATCTAAAATGCACAAGAATACCCTTGATATTTTTGAGTTTGATGGTCTGATGCATTCTTTGCTGGACCATTTGATGTAGGACCCTCGACGGCCCTCTCGAATCTGCTCTCTAGCTGCTCAAGGAAACCAATCATCGTGTAGACCTTAGAATCATACGGCAGTCGATCGATATCTTTCCATTGTGAAGGAAGGACAAAGGTTGGACACGTTAACTAACGACTCACCCACACCCAGCAAGCTTCTTACTATTCTCACTATCCCAGTCAAGTTTCCCTCCCTCGCCGACCATTTTAGTAAGTAGACCTCCTCTTACGGGTTCAAGGCCAATCATTTCGCCAACGTGTAGTCGTGTGCGACAATTTCATTTGGGACTCCAGCGAGGGAGAGTAGGAGGCTTATGGCAACACCTGTGTGGCATTTGCCGGCTATTATCTCTTCCATCTATCAGTTTTGCTTGTGAGGCCAAGGCAACCCGTTGGGATTGAGAAGTCGGCAAGGTGGGAACACAGTTATTTACTTGTACAATGTACCAAGAAAGGCTGGCCCGGGTTCCGTAGGACGTGCAGGAAGGTTTCCCGAAAGATAGTTCGGTACATTGTGAGGAAGGAGAGGTACATTTCTACAAGCTAGTTAAGTTGGCTTCAGTTACCGATGGTTTTTGCTGACTACCTAGGTAACTAGTTACATGCATTGTCAGATTCCAACTAGCACAACTAGTCAACTATGCATTGTCAGCCTTCATGCACAGCTTATAGAATCAAACCGCAAATATGATGCCTCCACAACCCCCTTCAACCTTAATCTAGGGCCGTATCTAACGCCTGCCCTTTACACATCTCATAATAATGGCCCTTTTTGTTAAGTAGCTCGGTATGAGTACCAGCCTCGGCAATTCTCCCTGCCTGGAAGACATAGATGGTATCGGCGCCCTTGATAGTGCTGAGTCTATGAGCCACAGCAATTGTGCTCCTTTTACCATCTTTCGCAGTGTCATTTATGGCATCCTGGACCATTTTTTCACTCTCCGTATCTAACGCACTCGTTGCTTCATCAAGGAGTAGGACTTTGGGATCCCGAACAAGCGCCCGAGCAATGGCAATACGCTGACGTTGGCCACCGGAAAGCTTGGAACCACGAGAACCAACTTCGCTTCCAAGGCCATCAGGTAGAGAGGAGACGAAGTCATATATATTTGCGTCTTTACAGACTTGCTCTATCCGTGCTTCTGTTGCTTCGCTCGATTCAATCAAGCCCATAGCAATATTTTCCCGGATACTGCCTTGAAATAATATTGGTTCTTGTTGAACAAAAGCTAAACGCCGGCGATGGTCTTGTAATTTGACTTCATGGATTCCTTGGCCATTAATAGTGATAGAGCCGGAGGTTGGATCATAAAAGCGACAGAGGAGGTTGATCATTGTCGACTTGCCACATCCTGATGGGCCAACAAAGGCGATGAATTTTCCTGGTGGGACTCTGATATTGATGTCGGAAATGACATTTTTTGAACGTCCGTGAGAAGGGTAAGCGAAGCTAAGAGCTCGACAGTCAATAGCAACAGTGTCATTTTTTTTCAAGGAGTTGTCCGCAGAAGGCTCATATGAAAAATCATTGTCGATAGCAGGAACTCGCTGGCGTAGCCAGAAGATGTAATTGGTAGAGCTAGTTGCTTTCGTGATGCCAGTGGTATATTGGAAAAGGGCAGCTGCATTCTCACCGCCAACCACAACCGCAGTGAAGACAACGAAGAACTGCTCACTTGTATACTCGTGAGTAGATACCAGTTTCCCGCCATACCAGAAACCCAGGGCCATAGCTAGGAAGGTAATAGATTGAGTCAAAGCGTACCAGAACATTGTAAAAGTCAGCGCTTTTACAGATTGAGCTGCAACCACGTCAAGCTTTTCTTGGTATATTTGAAGAATCTTGTTCTCCAAAGTAAGAGATGACACGGTCCTTATAGCCGAGACTGCTTCTGTTGCAATTGCGGCGCTGCTGGCAAAGCGTGCAGAGGTATCTTCCTCCAGTTTGCACTCAAGGAGGATGCGAAAGTAGCCGCTTAGCAGGAGTAGAGGCAGAGCAGCGAAGACGCACACAAGGCCAAGCTTCCAGCCATAAGCAATGCCCAGGACAGATACTGAGATAATTGTGACGACATTGATGAGAATCAAGCCTGAATTGATACCCAAAAGCTCATTCAAATTCGATGCATGAATTAGGAGCCGAGCACAGATTGAGCCGGTAGCATTATGTTCTTGATTGAAGAAGGCGATGTCTTGCTTTAAGGTATTCCTGAAGAGCTCTCTCCTATACCTCCGGCTTACTTCCTACGAGGTTGTTTATGGTGGTTAGTGTTAATCCGCCAACCGTGAAGTATAGAAACAGGTAGCTCACCTGAATGATGACATTAGCCGTCCACCCTACAACAAAGTAGACGAGGAAGTTAGCAAGAGCTATAACGAAGAACATCAACGCCCAGAAGTTCCCTTGACGGACTGCCTCGCTGCCGCGTAACCGAAAGACTTCAAGTGTCCGCGCTAAAATGACAGCTTGAGCTGGAAAAGTAGCACCTGCGACTGGTCAGAAACTGAGAGCTACTAGAGAGCCGTCTGATAAGCAAAATCACTGACCTCCAAGAATACAGGCAACGGCGAAGATCGAGTAAGATCCCCATAGATTCCGTTGCTCCATTATCAGAAGCCACAGACAGTGGATCAGGCTGTATCCCATGGTTTCCTTTGTTTGGGCTTTGGAACTCTCATCTATAGAGAGAGTCTCAGAAACTATACTCCTTGCACGGTGAGTCGACGGGTCTATAGTATGCATCTCATCATCCCTCTCTTCGCAGGGAACCTTTTCCTCCAAGCCCTTTTGCCCTTCTTCCCAGTCATCTTGCTCGACCGTGTCAATAACATCCTCACTATCTACCGTCTTGCGATGTTTTTGCTCCAGGACCTGCGTATGGACAAGCCTCGCATAAGCACCATCGCGAACCATGAGTTCATGGTGTGTTCCTTGCTCAATGATTCTACCAGCAGACATGACAGCGATGTTGTCTGCCTTCTGTACAGTAGACAACTTGTGAGCAATGATAATGGTGGTCCTGCCGATAGAAATATTATCTAGTGCGCTTTGCACGATCCTCTCAGCCTTTGGGTCAAGGGCACTCGTCGCTTCATCCAGCAGCAGAACCGAGGGGCGGGATATGATGCTGCGAGCGATAGCTATGCGTTGCTTTTGTCCTCCAGACAGCATGCGCGCGCGCTCACCAACCTGGGTATCGTATTGCTTAGGCAAGTGGTCAATGAACACGTCTGCGTAAGCTTCCTTACAGGCTTCTTTCACCAAGGCAAGTTTCTGCTCATATGGGGCGTCTTCGTGCTGTGTCCCTACAAGCCCGAAAGCGACGTTATCGAAGATTGTGCCGCTGAAGAGAACTGGTTCCTGCTGCACAAGGCGGATTTGAGTTCGTAACCAGGCAATGTTGAGTTCCTGGATGTTAACGCCATCAAGCAGGATGGTACCAGCTGTTTGATCGTACCAACGTTCTAAAAGTCCAACGATTGTGCTCTTCCCCGAGCCACTAGCACCAACCAGGGCCGTCGTCTTACCAGCGGGCACACTTAAGTCCAGGCCATTGAGGACTTGGGTATCTGGCCGAGATGGATAGGAAAACTCAAGACCTTCCACCTTAATCTCCCCTACACATTTATTGGGAGCTAATCCAGTGGTTGAAAGAGAGTCAATAGCCGGCTCCGTATCAATGATGCGAAATAGTTCTTCAGCAGCAGCAGCGGCTTTGGTAATTGTGATAATTTGAGGAGCAATATGGGTCAGGGATGTGGCTGCAACGACTACCGCGAAGATCACGCTGTGGAAAGAATTAGCAAAAAAAGTCATTGAACGTTTCATAATATTAGCCATACGTTACTACGTCGCCAGACTCTTGGATATCACCTCGAGCAAACATCTTGATACCCTGCCAGAAAGCAAGACCGTAGCCTGCGTAGACGCAGAAGAACTCAGTAGAAAATAAAACGCCATAATTTGGTGACTTCTTCCTGCCCACGCTTTCCAATTCAGCAAGAAAGTCTTCGTAGCGGTGTGCCATCGCGGGCTGCAACCAGAAGGCATGAACTGTCGATATGGAGGAGAAGACTTCTTCTGCAACCAGGCTAGAGCGTGAAAGGATAGCCATCAACTTGTCCTCACTCTTAACCTCGATGCTCATGCACACCCCCGTAACAAGGACAATAGCCGGAACGATGCAGATGGTAATTAGCGTTAGTTTCCACTGCACTCCAAAGGCAACAGCAAAAGCAGCTACGAAAGTGGCACAGCTTTGAATAAACACCGATAACTTTTCTGAAATGCCGTTAGTGACGATGTTACCATTCATAGTGACCTTCACGGACGGCGATCCATCTTTATTTGAGTCGAAATAGCTGGTATCCTGCCGTAGGAGGCTTTGCATAAAGTCAAGTCGCAGCGCTTTGGTAGCCCGAATGGCCGCTATCGATGCAGTAAGGGTGTGGATGTAAACCAGAAAGAATTTGGCGAGAAATAGAGAAACCAAATAAAGGCTACATATATGTTAGGCTGCTTCGGTATCCATGCTGCAATTGGTTTGCTGGTGGACTTACGAGTATTTTGACACTTCCCGTACATAGCTTTCAGAGCCGATGGTCCCATTAGCAAAGCTGTTGAAGATCGTTACAAACTTGCCAAAAACCAGGTCCATCAACGGAAGCGCTAAGCCGCCTATGATAGCAGCAAAGAAGGATATAGAGTAGAGCACCCAGGTCTTCCGATCAGCATAACGGAAGATGCGCCGGTAGCTCTTGAAGCCAGACGGCTTGGCTCCTTTATCGAACTCGATGTCTGGCATAATAAGCGAGGGGAGAAAGCCTAGCTGGGCAAGCTATATTCACCAACACAGGGTTCGGAAGCAGTAGTGACAGCTAGAAGTAACAGTAGTAAGGTGAATATGCCAGTATCAGATATTTGGTATTCTAGAGACTAGATCAGCAACGGCCCATGGGCGTCACCCAGTGGCTATATAACCTCCTGGGACCCTTTTGTTGGTTCCTCCGACTCCGACTCAGAGAAACAGCCTCATCCAATGATAGGTACATAGTACCCTGGCCAGCGTTGCTGGGCATCATGCCAGGCAATCTCAAGCTACCAGCATCGCGCATGGTAGCTGCATTTGGCGTGTCGCGGACAGGCATCTCCAGGAGTTGGCGCGGCCACTGATTAAACAAATCAAGATATGACCCAGCGCCAGCCACTATAATCAGGAATAAAAAAACAGGCCATTTGGCCTAAATGTGACGGCCTCTCAGCTCGCATCAAGCAGGCTGGTACGGAGACGAAGATGCAAAGCCGATGGTGGAGAGAGAATGAATGACTTCGGAAGCGGCTGAACCTTGAAAGGAACCTTGCTCTGCCGAGCCGCCATGCAACGGCCAAATATTCTTCCGATCCGATATAAATTCCCGGGCCGACCGGTGTCTATTCGTCCATCTGACAACTTTCCTACAACGACACCTAAATAGAGCACGTGAATATAGTTGCTTCTTATTGGATTCTATGCCATCATGTCCTCCCAAGACAGAGAAACACCACAAGATGGTGTTCTTTCTAGGCTATTGAGTGGGCTTCCGGAAGAAACGCCCCAGATCAAGTATATAAACATGAGTAAACTAAAGAGCCTGATAGATAAATAGGGATTGAGGGGTATGATAACGATGATACCCAAAGCCCCTTCATAGCAGTTATACAGTAACCGCCTAATATTCTTCAAGAATTTGATAGATTTTATCCAGATAAGGGCCCAAAAGTTACAGCAGACTTGCAAGAAGGAGTATTGGTTTTGGAGATAATGGCCCTACTACCCCATGAGAGAGCGGCCCAGGAGTTCCAGCGGTCCATTGACTTTCGGATTTTGACCATGGGTCTCTGGAGTGAGATTCTTAATAATGGCACTTCGCGAATAACAAGTCTGGATCAACGTTTTATCAAGGAGCCAGATGCTTCGTTTACACCCTATAATATCAATTGGCCGACATTTACCATGGAAGCTGGACTATCCGAAAATAAGGCCAAGCTGGCGATTGATGCTAAGGGATGGCTCGAATCAGCGGGCTCAAAAACCGAGGGCGTGATAACGGTGAAAGTCGACCGCAACGCTCTCGAAATTACCCTAACACGATGGGAGTGGAAGAAATAATGGCCATTCGAGAAGATAGTGTCACCAAAGTCACCGGTGACCTCACAATCCCATTCGAGAAATTAGCCGGCCGCTTGGTCAACGGGCCAAAGGAAGGTGACATTGTGATACCCAAAGAGGAAATATCACAAATCTATGAAGCCACCTGGATGGCCCAAGGATTCTCAGAATTCTAGCTATATCTCCTTTTGAATCGTCGATTTTTCTGTTTTGCCAATAATTATGTATTTGGATTGGCTTCAAGTCCACACCAGCAGCAGTTGAAGTGAAGAAACTTATCAGACGGGGTTCGTCCGTCCAACGCTATTGGAACCATCCAGTGAATAAGGCGGAGCAGTACCATTATGCTTTATAGCAGATAAATAGTTTCAGTGCACTTAGTGGCATGAATAGAATTATGTGGGGTAAGACAATAACTGCTGTGTCTGTTGGTCCTATGAGTTGATGGCAAAGGGCCACATTTGCTTGATTTCCTCGATGGTTTTATTTTCGGCAAGCATTTTGTTAGCAAATAGCTGGTATAGCTCTTGATGTTGCTTTCTCTTTTCATCCCAATCGAATACAGGAGATATCCAGCCTTCTGAATCAGTGTCTAGCGCTCTTTTAACCAGGACCTGAAGGTCATTCCATTCTTCGTATCTTGCAAGCTCTTCATGGTATTCTGATAGCTCGGTCTCTGTCATTTGTATAGGGCAAGACTCCGTGAATCGTAAGTCAGACCAGTATTTATATAACTCGGCTAAGCAGGAGCGAAGTGGAAAATTCCCATCAACATGTGTCTCCCCGCAGCGAATATATATCTCCTTCAAAGCTGGTGGTACCAGCAGGGCATTATGTAATGGGGCATTGAAAGCACCTGTACACACCTCATAGGCCTTGGCGAGATAACTTTGCTCATAGGTGAGCTTCGCCACTGCTCTATCTGCAGCATCCATTTCTTCAAGCCCAGATAATGGCTCAGGTTTTGCTATTAATCCTGGGATATAGCCATCCAGAGGTTCAAGAAATACCGGCCATCGCGCCTGCAAAAATCTTGGCGCAATTGAAAGTGAATGCCAGTCAATAATACTTGTGATGTTTATTGTATTTGTATTTTCCTCAGCCGTAAAGATATTCCCCATGTTTAAGTCTGTGTGCAATAGCGCCGGCATGGAGGTCTTTATCAGACTTGGGTGATTTGAGACTGTTGGTACGGTATTTATCGCGGATTCGAGCACTAACTTATGAGAAGTTGGAGTACCATAACTGGGAGGTTGACATCCCGCAGCCCGCACTGTAGGAAATCCTTTGCGTAAACTGCGTTTAGCAAGACATTCCCCAAATTCTTGCAAATTCATCCCTAAAAAAGATTAGTTAAACTAACGGGTTATCTGGTTCAAAAGTTCTGCAACATACAAGGTCCAGAATTATATTCGAGGGTTTCATTCCCATCTGCCCACTCGAGACTAGCTGCAGGGCCAATGCAATACTGACCAGAGGGGTCGATGTCTTTGTCCAGGGGTACGTGCGGTAGGTTTGGGATGGAACGTCGAAAGTACAGATTTCCGTAGGCTGGAAACTGAAGAGACAATAATTGCTTCTCTATCAGGACAAGGCCTTTTATTACATCCAGGCGACGGGCTTCAGAGAGCCCTCCCCAGACTTTAGTTAGCTGAACCCCTTTTGCCTTCTCCAGTATAATATATTCTGCCCCAACTGGGTTTTTAGCATCTGAGCTCCAGGCCAAAACTTTGGGAGCCGGGGTTGTTGTATGAGTCCGAACTATTGGAATTTAGATAAGATCTCTTAATCTCTCGAAAATGTATGGAATTCCTCACCGAACTCTAGCACAGCAGCCTCTGATGCAGTTGAGAGCATGGACAGACCAGCATTTGGGCAGGGAATTTTGGCAACCACTTCACTTCCGTTCTCAAGTGTCATTAAAAGCACTTTATGGAATCCTCCCTCCAATTTCTCCATTTTCACAACTCTAGGAGCAGTTGAAGCGCCTTTGCCAATGATTGCTCCAACGAGGTTACATAACTCGTCAATGTTGAATCGTTTGTACCGTCTAGAGTAATTATATTCCTCATCGACAAGGAAATGCCCATTACTGTACTGAAATACTTCTTCATGGCTGATGGGCTTGCCTATCAAAGTCAGGTTGGATAAGTGGAAACCATCAGGTAGTATTGCGCACCTCGACAAGTGATGTGGAGACGTCTCTGGAAAGTAGAGGAGAGACGTCGGCCTGACACCCTTGAAAACGATTTTGATATCATCATGATGATTGAAAATAATAACCTAGCTATCACCGCCGCGCATGTATAGACAAAGTTTGAAGCCCTAGCCTTCAAATCTTAGCTGGTGATTCATGCTTCAAATTCAAATAGGTATCAATGGTACTGTATCCTTATTAATGTCGTTATAATTATTCCTAAGATTGAGACTTAAACAATAATACTAGAGAATTGGTTAAATTTCGACAAGGAATATCAAAGAGGGCCTATCAACTAGGTTAAATCCTGGTTGGCGGCGCCAGTTAACCTTCCCGTAGGTTTCGAAGTAGTTAGTTGGGAGAATCCAAAAAATTTCATGTTAAAGTGCAAGGAAACTTTAGCGGCAATTAGCCGCGCGTGTGCCCACTCTCGCGGGTGCAGTGATAAATGGTAGATAAGACACAATTTTGTCTATGCAAAAGAAGATGAAAAACATATGGTAGTGTTCTCTAGATTTATTAGGCAGTGCAGTTAACCTTGCTTTTTTTAATGTATTAGCTAAATCCCACCATGGTATAGTAATTCTCTAGTTGCCCATTATAGTACAGATATGTTACAGGAGATTCGTTACTCTAAATTTATTTATTTCCCCGGATAACTTCTATTCCACCCATCCATGGTCTCAGAACCTCGGGGACAATGACACCGCCTATTGCTTCGTCCCATCCATGCTCTAGTATAGCTGCCAGAACTCTCGGGACGGCCATGGCGGTTCCGTTGACAGTGTGGGGGAACCTCGACTCTCCCGAACTATCACGCACTCTTGTTCCTAGCCGTCTGCTCTGGTAGTCCGTGCATATGGAAGTTGAAGTGACCTCACCCCAGCCACTGTAATCAGGGTCCAGTACAGATGCCTTGTCCGATTTATTTGGTATCCTGGATGGGAACAGAACTTCAATATCCCTTTTTCGAGTTGCACTAGCACCAAGGTCTGAAGACGACATTTCTAATATGCGGCATGGAAGGTTGAGGGAAGATAGAATATCCGTTTGAATAGAAAGCATTTCTTCAAAAAGAGAGGTTGAGGTTATCTCATTGGAATCCGCATTCGTCAAATTTCCCTGCTCAATATTGTCCGTCCAGGCAAATAACTCGACCTTGGTAAATTCATGCACGCGGTATAGTCCCTTGGTATCGACTCCTCTTGCGCCAGCCTCGGCTCGGTAGCATCTGCTTGCCCCGACAAGCTTTAGAGGAAGCTGTTCAGCCTGGATTTCCTGGCCAGCGTACATGGCAGCAAGTGGTATCTCGGCAGTTCCTGTTAAACTGCGCTGTGGTTTATGTGCAGCTCTATCCCTCTCTGTCTGCTGGATAGACCAAATTTGCTGCTCGTTATTCGCATCTCGGGGTTGGAAACCGCAAGCTTCGGCAATATGAGAGTAGACAACACTGGGTGGTGAGACAGGCTTCCAGCCCTTCTTACGAGCTGCAGTGAGGGCGTATTGTACAAGAGCATGCTCGAGGAGGCAGCCTTCGTTGGTGAGGAAGTACCATCCCCAGCCTGTTGACGTCGCTGAGCTAGTAAAATCCAATAGTCCCAGCTCAGTGCCAATTGAGACGTGGGATCGTGGAGTAGCAGCAGTCGATGTAGCTGGAGAGGTGTATGAGGGAGGGGATTCAGGATCGAAATTGATGTATGTGACGATGCGAGGAATGTCTCCAATCGGGGTGTCCTTCGATGTAAGATTTGGCAACGACAACGCCAACTGCTGTATTTCTTCCATACATTCTTCCCTCCGATCCATCATCTGTTGTGATGCATCCTTGAGTTCCTTTGCTTCTTGTCGAAGGGCATCCAGGGCTCCATCCTGTTTCTGCTCTTGCGATTGACGCGCAGCAATGGTAGCAAGCTTCGCTATCTCTTTCTCAACCTGCTTTATTCGAGCCCGAGGATGCTTCAAGGCATGCTGCAAATCCGACGCTTCTTTGGCTAGAGACTGTATTCTCGGTGGGTAATCCGCGACCGGTTTGTAATTGCGATCGAAGCAGTTCTTCGAGTATATCTCTGCGTTTTCGCGAATGTGGCGGACATTGGGGACAGGTTTCGGAGCGGTTGGCGGTCGGGACGACGCTGTACTGATACCACGGCGAGAGAAGGCGGCGTTCCGAGTGGGAGATCTAAGTGATATCCTGCAATTGAGGCATATGTACAACGAGGAGGACCTCATTTGGAGTGTGCTGGCGGCGATAACTCCAATTGTTCGAGTTTTGTTGCTGGGAAGGTTGGAGGTTGTTTTTTTCTCTGAAGTTTAGAAGTTGAATATGCGGACTAAAACATCTAACTATCGGTACTTATAATAGATGGATACTAATTATGGATGATGTGATGACCACATGCACAACTTTTTCTATTCATAGAGTGAACTGATGGAGAGATGTATGTATAATTAAGCCATCCGCTGTCTCTGGGATGCTATATTAAGCTGGCCGGAGAGGGTTGTGTGTTGAACATGAGTAAGAGGAGGGAAGAAACACCGAAACAGAGAGCTAGAGGGCGGAGTGAGAAGCATCATTCGTAAAGTGATACCCAAAGGATATGCCGAAAGCAGCAGCAGAGTGAGTAGCAAGGTGAGCTACTCATATGCTTGGTGCCCTAGCGGATCCTCTTAGAAAGGCCGGCAGCTTGTACCGCTTGACTCTCGCAATGACACCGGCAAAGGTGAGAAACGCTGAAATAATGACCGGCCAGAAGCCAATATGCAGCGTCTTGACGTTATAATCCGTCTTCGTAGCAGCTATAACAACCGCCAATTCCAAGACAAAGAGCACGTAGCCGCTCACACGGTGCCATTTGTATATCTTCTTCCCATTCTCGACGCTACCAAAGATGGTTTCTGGGAAGAAGTACTGCGCAACGCCGACGGCTGCCTGCAGGAAGATGATAATGTAGGTTGTCAGGCCGAGGATTCCATGGACAGAGGAAAACCGGGTTTCCGGATGACTCTGCTTGTTGATCTCGATGATGATGAGGGCCGAGATGAAGGCTAGGTTGGCGACGGCAAGGAGTCCAAAGTGCGTGAGAGCACCGGTTCGCTTCTGCGAGGGAGTCCTAGTCGGCTGCACGATGAGGATTGCCTGAACGGAGAGTAGGATCCCCACGGAGTTGAGAAGCTGCCACCGCAGTCAGCAAATATATCGTGTTATTATTGTAAGGATGGCGATGGCCTGATTAGCCGGCTGCTTACCGGGTGAGGCGAGAAGAAGATGAGATCATGAGTGAAGATTCCGGACCAGACGAGGGCGACATTCTTTACCAACTTGTCAGTCTAGTAACTACCTAATTTGGTGAGGTGAATCTTGACGGTGACGCCCACTTACGATCAGAATTCCAACCTGTGCCAGTCCCGCAGTCCCTAGAAGCGCAGAGTCAGCATCCCATCGACTAACCGGCGGCCCATCTACCAAGCTGCCTGCCGACCTACCCGTAATCAAATTAACGAAGATGCTCTGGTCTTCTCTCTGGGTGACTGCGCCGGGCTGGCCGAGCAGCGGTTCATTCTCGATACCCTCTTGCAGAGCAGACGGCCGCTCTTCGGGAATCCCAGTTGCGGATGCCATCACAGCTGTGTATCTCAGTTTAATTGACGTAGTTACGAGATATGCCAGCTATTTACTGGTGTTGTGAAGCTGATGAGGACCGGACGAGAAAGATCACAAACATTGCATCATCGCCGCTCAGTTTCATTCTTGTCCGTCTTGTCATACCTGGAGCAGCCAGTCAGCATCAACGTATTCAAATATGGGGACGCCAGCCAGCCAGTTACATACTTCACTGCCCAGTTGTTATTTAGCTAACTAAGTAACTAGCATTACTAGAGAATCCCTGGGCTAGCCGTTTAGTTAAATAATTAGGCATCAAGTCAACCTCCGGCGCTCAAGCCGCTCTTCCTATCCGCCGGCGAGTCCCGCAGTCAAGCTGGATAAGCAGATCGCAACGGGGCTTGCCGTCTCATCGTGCTGTCCTCGGTAGTATAGCCAAGTATAAGAAGGAGCATCCCTGGAGCCTGTTTGGGGATTACAAGTTAACTATTTGAATATCCAACCTATAGTTAATATCAAAGGGAAAGCTGTATATAGACCTACTCTCCTTGTATAATCGACCATGGCCACCAGCGTTCCAAGTGAGGAGATAGACAGATGCTTCTCAAAGACGACCAATATAGCATCATCTGGCTTGAACTCGGCTGTTCTGGCCTGTAGCGATGAATACTTCGCCGCTGCATCGAACCTGCTTACCCCCGGAGCCCCTATCCACAAACCAGGCGTCTTCGTCCATACGGGAGCATGGTACGACGGATGGGAGACTAGACGCCATAACCCTGCAGAGTACGACTGGGCACTCATCAAACTGGGCGTAGGCAGCGGAATCATCGAAGGAATCGAGATCGATACCGCGTACTTCGTCGGGAACTATGGAGAGCAGGTCCTGGTCGAGGCTGCATATCTGCCTGCCGCCGACCCTGGATCGGCTGCGAGCGAGCAAGAAATGATTAGTGACAGCTTCTCCAGGTGGGAGACCATCCTGCCGCAGCAGCCATGCGGCCCTTCGATGCGTCAGGCCTGGAAACTGCCAAAGCCCACGGGGCCGTTGACGCATATCAGAGTGCGTATGTATCCCGACGGCGGGTTCTCCAGGCTCAGACTGTATGGCCACGCTCTGCCGCCGGCTCTAGTCTCGGTTCAGAACCAGACTCCTCCGGTGGAAGAGCTTTCCTCAGCGCTGATGGGCGGCCTGGCTCTGGCTGCGAGCAACCAGCACTTTACTCCGGCTTCTAACCTCCTCCTGCCCGGGCGAGGAAAGGACATGGGCGACGGATGGGAGACTGCTCGTTCCCGCCAACGAGGCCATGTCGACTGGGCCATCGTGAAGCTGGGCCTGCCTGGATCCGCCGTCAAGGTGGTCGTTGATACCAAAGACTTTAGGGGGAACTTCCCACGGGCAGTGCGTGTTGAGACGATTGACTGGAAGGGCGAGGAAGACAGCGAGCCGCCGTCTGACCATGACAGCTGGACGGAGCTGGTCAAGGGGGAGCAGCCATGCAGAGCTGATACTGAGCATGTCTTTGAGGGAGACGCTCTCGTTGCTGGCCATCATGCAACGCATGCAAAGCTCACCATGATTCCGGACGGGGGAGTCAAGAGATTCCGCATCTTTGGCCATAGATCATCCAAATGAACAGGAAATGTTATATTCATACAGTCATTATTTGGTTATATATCAACATAGCTAAGGAATAATAACATTTCATGAGAGACACAGAGGAACTAGAACATACACCATGATAACATCCAGATGTTTTTTCCTTTTTTCTCTTTCTTTTTTCGTATGTTTTTTGACCACCCTGTTGCAAATATATACCAATCAAGCCAGCAAATCCTCCCAAGTCAAGCAAAGTCTTTTCCAACCAGCATTACCCATTCTCGATCATAAGTGAAGGAAAAACAAAACCGCCTCAAATATCCCGCTCCCATATATACATGTCCTCGTTGCCATGAGAAGGTAGGTAAAAGAGGTATGTATGATCCTCTGCCGCATATCCTAAAATCTGGTATTATATGTCGTTATTATCCGATAAACATCAATATGAAAAGGCAATAAATATAAGCGCAAACGAGGCCGTATTGCCCATGATTAATAAAAAGAGTAATATATTGTTGTAAATGCGGAGCAAAATCGTTGCCGCTGATAGAGCGGTGAAATATCGAGAGAGCGGCCTCCAGTGTTACATGGGCTGTCGATGTTGAGATCATTGATTTGAGGATGGTGGCTGGTCGTCGCCGTCGCCCTCGTTGCCATCTTCGCCGTCGTCCTTAAGCTCCTCCACTCTTGACTCCTCGACAGGCTGGCTGCTTTCCTCGTCCTTAGAATCGCCATTTGTAGTTCCACCGCACCTTACGGTTGCTGTAGCAATTGCAGCTTTTATCAATGCCTGAGTCTGGTTCTTTTGAGCTATACCGTCACTTGACGATGGAGAAGGCGGGCGGGGTTTAGGCTGTGCAGAAGCCTGTAATTCCATCAAACGGGAAGCAGCAGCTGATGAATTAGACCTCTTTGGCAGTGCGCCACTTTGGGGCGCCAGGTACCGATCCAGCATACTTTTTAGCACATCCGATCGCACAGGCTTGGCTAGGTAATTGTTCATGCCCGCCTTGATGCACTTTTCGCGGTCTCCCTCTATGGCACTTGCTGTCATAGCTATGACTAGCACCTCATTGATATTTGGATCTGGATCTTCGCGGATCTTGCGTGTTGCGTCACAGCCGTCAAGCACCGGCATCTGGACATCCATCAAGACAATATGGAAGGGCTTGCCGTCTCTAGCCTTCCTTCGAACGGCTTCAACAGCTTGCTCACCATCACTATACACCTCACTGGATAGCCCTAGATGGCGCACGAAGCTCACGGCAATCTTTTGGTTAATGGGATTATCTTCTGCTATGCAAATCCTGATAAGGTCGCGGGGTATATGAGAGATATCTCGTAATTTGTGGGAGTGCGGCTGTTTATGTCCCGACTCCTGTGTCCATGGGGCCTTTGCGATCGCGTCCTTGCCCGCTTTTTTGAAGACAAGCGTGAATGTCACTGTGGTTCCTTCACCTTCTTTGGACTGTAGCCATATGCGCCCACCAAGAACATCTTCAATGATAGCTTTGCAAATACTCAAACCCAATCCACTACCACCATATGACCTCGCAGTAGAGCTGTCGGCCTGCGAAAATGGCCTGAATAAGCGAACTAGTTGTTCTTCTGAAATACCAATTCCAGTGTCAGCAACCTTACACGTCATCCGGATTTTCTCCGGCGTGTCTTCTTCGATTATTGCTCGAACCGTAACCGATCCCGCCGGCGTGAACTTGTAGCTGTTGCTGAGCAAGTTCATAAATATTTGGTGCAAGCGGACAGGATCGCCCATAACAAGAAGATTAGGATCGATGCTCACAAGGTCTTCAACCGTAGTAAGCCCTTTGTCTCGATGGGTATATCGAAGAGCACGAACAACTTCGGCAATTGTTTGACGAAGGTTTATCGGGACAATAGAAACCTTCATCTTTCCTGCCTCAAGTTTCGAAAAGTCCAAAATATCATTGATCAGCGTGAGTAGTGTGTCGGCGCAAACACGGATTGATTCGACGTAAACGTCCTGCTTGGCGTCTAGTTTGGTGGCTTTAAGCAATTCCGATAATCCAATAACTCCGGTCATGGGTGTGCGCAAGTCGTGTGAGATGTTTGCGAGGAAAATCGATTTAGCCTTCGCAGCATCTTCCTTGAGCTTGACATTATGGTTGGCTTGAACTTCAGCGACTTTAGCTTTATGCTCCGCTTCTCGAGCTTGGACCAAGGCACGCTTTTGGGCCTCAACCATTGCAGCATTAGCAGCACTAGTTCGGGAAGGTTAGCTCATGTTTCTGGTGTAAACTGCGGTGAAATACAAACTTACCTCACTTTCCGCACCTCCTGGAACAGGAACGCATTTGCAAGTGAGATGCCCATTTGATTACAAACGAGGCGCAACAGTACAAGATTGCGTTGAGTAAAGGAATTCGGCTTCCCTTCAATATGTATCACTCCAAGGAACTTCTTTGCCTGAACAATTGGTAGAACAATTATTGATCGACCATGCGGATGACGGGACGTGTAGGATTCACTAAGATTGGTAAATCGATCATCTTCCAAAACGTTATGCACCAGAACTGCCTCCCTAGTACGAAGAGTATAGTTGCTGATCTGCTGGGCCATTTTATCTTCCACTTCAGAGAAAGGTAATCCGTTTTCGTAGGCAATAGGGTCGCTGTCGTTGTCTCCGGAGGCAGCAACACACCATCCCTGAGACTCGAATTCGGTGATCACAAGGGCAAGCTCCGAGCCGCTGCAAGACTCCAATATAATGCCAACCATCTTTGTTAATAATTTGTTGACCTCGAGTTCAGATGACATGACATGGCTGAATTCGATGATGGTGGATAGGTCGATTATATCCAGGCCAACGCCAGTTATGTCGGATGGCGCTTCAGTCCCTTGGTTTTGCTCTAGCCATTTCTGATTATGACCACTCTCGAGAGAATTGAGAGCATGGTTTTCAGAAGCAGGTTCAGTAACGTTGGACTTCTGAACACCGAGAAGTGAGTCGATTGTTTGGCAACCAACATCATTCGTCCTTGACACTGTGCCGATCCTCGTCAGCCATTCGTATTTATCCGTTAACTGTCGTGCTTTTCTGGACGCTCCAATTCTATTCCACACGGAAATAGCGGGCTGGAGCATCATCTGCGCCGCACGTTTAGCACCGCGTCGAACTAGGAAATCAACTACATAAGGAGGGTTAGCAATGAATATTTAGAATAGTCATACGACATCATGCAGTGGGATTCTTATTTACCCTGCAGTTCGTAAGCGATGGCTTCTTCAATTGGCCAGTTATGAATTTGAGTATGATCCAATGCCTCCTGCGATTCCTAGTGGTCAGACTCGAAAAATCGCCGATGAAGGGTGGACTCGGCACTTACCTCGAGGGCTACCAGTGCAGCTTGGAAGTCCTTTTTCAGTTCACACAGTAAACCCTTGACTAGTAACGACCACATTCCATAATTTGCATCACAGGCATTCCGCATAAAATCAATTTCTTCCTTGTACCGTTCGACCGCGATAATGTGTTCCTCTAAATCAGGTCTCAAAGGATCTTCGAAATGCAAGGACAAAGTAGCCAACGAGAGATAAAAGTAAACCTGAGTAGCCAGTCGCGACGAAAAGATACCACGCAATTGACCGACCATTTCGGTGCCCATTTCCACTATCCTTGAGTAGTGACCAAAAACGTATAGAGGAATGACAATGATACTGCGGTATGTAATCAGAACATGGGGTTTACCAGGAAGGCGTTCCAAAACTTCGGCCTGATATCTTTGATCGTCATGATATGCGTCAGATAAAGCAAGATCTGGTGAACTAGCAAGCGTTTTCCCTTGAAGTGCCCGTGCCACTTGTCTATTAAAGTATTAACACCTAACCAAGGCCATAGGATATAAAGAGCGGAAAGGTTGCACTTACCGGACTGCTACTATAGAAAGACCTCCACGAATATCATAAGCCCAGTCGGTGATTTCTTCGGTTGCATCATTGCAAAGGTCCTCTATCTCGCCCAAGTCATGGCCAAGAACTAACCGAGTGACAACCATTGATGATATATTGAGAAGAATATAGTAACGGTCACCGAGGAAGAACGCTGCTTCTGTTGAAGTTTCTAGTAGGGGTAAAATTACAGATACCGGCTCCCGCATATGGTTAATGAAGAAGTTATGGATCGTAATGCCACGTGCGATCGCTGCTGGGTCATTAGTAACTTGCAGAAGCGATAGTGCAGCATCGCTGAGCTTCAAGCCGAGTTCTAGGTCCTTGAATCGACCTAATGCGATTGCTGATAGCTGGCTGTACAAGTAAATCACCTGCACCATTGACCCATGCTCGATATTTAGACGCATCATTTCCACCGTGAGATGGTGGTACATCATGGGATCAAGCCAGAGACAGATCGATATGGCTTCGTTCAATACTGCACCAGCCGCAATTAAGTCTCGGTTTTCGCTAATGGGCCGTGATAACAGAGCATTAAAATCAGCAGTTCGAAGATGTGTGGTAAGTTGGTTGTATGTCTCGTCAGTCTCCTCCCATGTTGTTACGCGGTTGAGATTCACGCCTAATTCCTCTAGGCAAGTGAAGAGCGCATCTAGGGCGGCACATATATCCCCTAAAACGGAGTGAACTCGACTTCGTAGTGTCCAAGCTCTGGCCTTGCAAGGTGCTGTGCGTGCATTTTCAAAAACGGCGTTGAGAGTATTCAACGTTTCTGCTGTTTGGCCCAAGGCAAGCTGCATTTCTGCTGTTTGAATATAAAGCTCCCTAGTCTCGTCGTAGTAGGTATCAGGGATATCAGAGTCCCATGGGTTATCCTGTAGGAGGGAGATACACAGTTGAAAATGTTTAAGAGCCATGGCTTTGGCTCCCGACTTGTAGCTAGATAGCCCCGCCCGGTACAAAATATCGCGATATGCAGTACGTATCGGGACCCGTTCCTTAATTAGTTTGGCGGAGAGGCCAATGTGGCGAGCTTTGAGGTGCATAGAAGCTTCGTTGTCAGGCAGATACTTCATCATAGTTAGTGTTATGATGAAATGCATTTTCTCCACATTATGGCACTGCCGCATAGAGGCTACTGCCTGGGCATAATGGTCAGAAGAGAATCTGCGTTGTATTAGCTAGTCGAACCCATAAATTGAAGCGTAAATTAGGATAGATGTGAACTCACCTGAACTCATCATCAGTTTCTCCAGGAATTATAATATATGCCTGAAGTAGGAATTGAAGGCCTGCAACAACATTACTACTGTCTTGTTTCCATGTTGTCTGCGCAGGACAAGTCACATCACCCTCTTCCTCTCCACCAACTTCATACAAAAATTCTCCGGAAAGAAGTTTTTGCACAAGGGAGAATGAAAAGGTGGTGCCCAGCAGGGCAGCCCATAGGACAATCGATCGTGCCGCAGCAGGCATTTCCTGTAATCTTTTGACAACGAAACTGGTTCCAATACCTTCACCGTAACCCGGGACAACAAATTCAGAGAAGACTCGGTCAAGGTTAAATTCCCACGCAGCGTCTCTCCAGGAGTACCAGATGCAATTCTTACGATAGCATGTTTCAAGAATCATGCGAATGTAAAAGGGGTTTCCACGACTCTTCTCTTGAACGACAGCGGCTAACGGGACTAGGGAGTTGTTTGAAGTTTGGTGCATTGTCGCTGCGACAAATTCAAGGATATCATCTTCGGTTAGAGGCTCTAGTACCACATTTGTGATATTCGAGCCTTCACCTTCGAAAAGGGACTTCATAGTAGGCGAAATAATGTCATCAGTGCGTCCAGTGAGGATAACCACGCACCTGACCTTATTTCTCATTATCTCGAGTAACAAACCGGCAGATTCTTCATCGACGAAATGTGCATTGTCGATACATATACAGACGACCTCGTATAAGGACATAACCCTCAGAACGTCAATCACAATTTCCACGAAATTCATTCCCGACGCACTCGGTCCCTGGCAGAAGTCCTGTGAGGTTTGGCCATGCCTGAGACTTGTAAATTCGGGGGCACTAACGCTGAATGTTTCCTCTATGCCCTCCTTCAGACCTTTCAGTGGCTGAAATGACCTCTGGTGTACCGGCGGTTCGTTGTCGACATTATCTTGGAAGAGTAGCTGGTAGGGAAGGTCCAGGAACTGATGCAGAGAAGGCCAGATGGGCTGCAGGCTAGTACGAATTGAATTGTGGTACTCTGTTGTAATTTCACGCTCGGAAAATATTTGTCGTAATAAGCCGGCTAAAGCTTTGAGGAAAGGATCGAATGGCAATTTAGACTGTCGGTCAACCTTTGCAACGGCAACGTAACCGAGTTTGCGTATCTCGGGTAGCAAACGCTGAACCAAATCTGATTTTCCCATTCCAGTTGGTCCAGATACAGTGATTACTTCACATCGGCCACCGTACCGATATTTCGTATGAGCCGCTTTGCGACGAGCTATAGAGTTAGAGTCGAATGCGACGCTGGGCGAGTCACGATCGATAAATTCCCACGACATCCTCGAATCCGTAGGGCTCTTCATACGGCTCGATAAAAGTGTAGACCTGCCACTTGAGGTCCCATGATCAACACTAAGCATAGAATCGTGAGAAGGCATCAAGCCGTGAGAGGTTGAGGCATGAGTGGTTGAGTTGGGTCTGAACGCTGAAATAGGAGCTCCAAAGGAGCCAGAGTCACTGGATGCATCGATTTCAAAATTATCCAGCCTATCGCCTGACATCGACGAACCCGAACTTTTCGCGTAGAGACTTTGTTTGTTGGGGGTGGTGGCGGCCTGTCGTCGTTTGTTGGCTTTGTTTACCACGCTCATAATCCGGTCGAACTCGACTTTCCTTCCAAACATGCCAGAAGGTAGAGTGAAGAACGAAGAAACATCCCGCTGGGCTACCTGGAAGTTTTTCAGTGCCTGGGAGTCCCCATCACCAAGCAGCTTGGAGATCTGCTGGAGATCCCACTTGACAGCCGAGATGGTATGGTACCTTTCATTGATTTGTTTCTTGGTCATTTTTTGAATAACATCGGAGCATGCATCGGGCATATCAATACGTAAGGACGATATAGGAGACAGTCTCTTGCTCAGGACATTCTGAACTATTTCAATAAGGTCTTTTCCTTCGAAAGCTGGCTTCCGAGCAAGCATAATCCATAGTAGTATACCAAGAGCATATATATCTGTCCTGCTGTCAGGCTCTGTTGGTAATCTACCAGTCTGTTCCGGCGCAATAAACTGCAGTTTGTTCCTGGCCCCGATTTCCTTCGACAAGACGGACCAACCGTCACCTAGGGCATTGTCGAATGACCTGGGGCCGTTGCCAGTATTCATCAGCCTAACAGCCCTAGTTTCCTCGGAGAAGTGGAAAGCATCACCACGGATTTCACCATGAATCGTCTTGAGGCCATAATGCAGTAGCTCGAGACACTCGCAAGCTCCAATGGCAAAATCAAAGAAGGCCTGCAGGGAAACATCTTCGATGCCGGGATCGGTCAAGGTCTGGACAGTGCGATCCATTGGAAAAGAGTTCGGGCCAGCCGGGATCAAGCGTCTGAGGTAGTTGGGCGATACGTATTCATAAATCGTGACGAGAAGCAGCCCTCTGTCCTCGGGCTGACGGGCAAGGTGTATGATATCAATGGGGCGAACGGTGTGTTTGCATTCTGGATCAGAAGTCTCGACTATCGACCGCAGTATGTGAAACTCGCGCTCGAGTCGGACAACATGGCCGGACACACGGGCTACGACGGGGAGCCATGGCTTTTCAACCTCTTCGCGTGGGGAGGTGATCTCACTGCCAGCTTCACTGGAGGCCTTTCGCCACTGTGACGGGAAAAAGGACCTTGGTTCCAACTCTGGCGAGTTATGCGACGATACGGAGGCCTTGGAGCGTGACGAGGAGGAGGCTGCTGTCTGCGTCGAAATACTCTCGGAGTCTGTGGAGTATTTGATTCCAGTGAACTGCCAGTGGTCGTAGGAGGACTGGATGGGGGTGACGTTCTGGTCCCAAGAGTACCCTGGAATCTGTGAAAGACGCTCTAAAAGTCGCTCCGGAAGGACATGGAGATCTTCCCCTAGAATCCTGCTCTCCTCCATCTTTCCTTATCCTTTATCTCCGTATTGTTTTGTATTTCTTATTTCGTATATCTTAATTTTTACGTAGTTGCGGCGGGCATAAACTGCCCCGACGTTTCTCGAGGGTAAGCGGTGCAACAGAACGGCGGCGGCGGCAGCGGCAACAATGACAGCGGGAGGAGGGTCATGTCCGTGGTCAGGAGTCGCTGACTACCGGAATGTCATGCTCGTCGCTGGAGGAAGTATTGTATATATAGGTAAATGGATTTTATATATATTAACCTGAAAATGTGGGGAGGAAGAAGTTGGTCGTTGTTGAGGTGAGATCCTTTTTGGTTTGGTTTTTTGGCCGCCAACGAGAAAAAGGCTGGACGGGCAAAGATTAAAAAAAAGGGTAAAAGGATAAAAAGGATAAAAATAAAAATAAAAATCATGTGCTTCTTTGCCTCTCTTTTGGCGCATGGCAGCTCAGATAAAAGGGAAAAGAAGACGTCTCTGCCAAAGCGAAAGTAGAGACCGGAAAGAAGCCCTGGCTGCTTCTTCTCTCTCCTTCACTTCAACTTCAACTTCTTCCAGCTTGATCTTCTTTCCCTTCTTTCTCTCTCGGTGGCTGACACCGCAGGGGGATGAAGCCTAGGCCTATCAAATCCTCCAGCCACGATTCCACTTGGGTCTCTGACGCAAGTCGCCTTGTGGCTCTTCCACCAGCCCTAGCTCTGCTAGTTCAGTTACCGAGACGCACCTCATGGGGGAAGGTTTAGACGGTCGAGCAAGGTCGAGCGCAAGGCAGGCGTCCGTTTCGTCTGGAGAAGCGTCAGAAGCGAAGCCGAGTCAGTTGATGTGGCTTTGCCGCCGGGGGGAGTGTGATGGACGGGCAGCCAACAAGTTACGCGGCACGTTAATCAGCCAACTAGTTACCTAGTTAACCACCAGGTTTGGCAGACGTCACTTGCTCTGCCAGCTGCTGAGCTCGTCGAGCTGCTGCTGCCTGAGGCTTAAACGGCCTGGTTGGGTCTCCTCTTTTTTAGGTATATGCGGTTGAGCCAGTGAGCCAGAGGGTTGGCTAATAAGGCTGCAGGAGAATTAGTTATCAAGGTTAGCACAAGGGGCTAACTACGCATAGCTGCGGTTTGTGCGCCGAGCTTAGTTCTTTGACGGTCCTTGGGCAAGAGTATGCGGTTTGTTAACCATTTGCAGGGCTCGCTGGCAGAGTTGTTGGACTCTACAAGAGGTTGAGGCCGCCTGGTCGTACTTACGACCTAGAAGGGATGGTGTATAGTCAACTACAGTACTTACCATCATAATGTGATACTATATTAAATACTAATTATCCCAAGATATTGGCTGTTAGTTAAATGCGTACTCAAATCATATATAAAGCTCATCAGCTTCCCATTCCAGGTGACTAGAATTCCCCAAGGCTGGCAGGAATGAATGAAGCAGCAGGCGTACTACAAGAAAAGGGTAACTATATACGAACTTATGCTGTTCAATTTCTAGTACATAGACCATCAATGTATCGACCCTGACGACTGGCTCAATTAGCTAACTTAATGTGACTGCATATCAGTGATTGGAGTTTGAGTGCTGCTTTTGTCATTCCTTTTACCTTTTTTTTGTCTGCATTCTCTGTCGTAAAGAAATCTTCCCCTTCCCTTCCCCTCCCCTTTTCTTTCTTTATCACTAGTGAAACCAAATATCAGTTAAAATAATGCCCAAATGATATCTATCTATGGACTATCAACTAAACATTCAGTCTACGATGCTGATGCTGGCGGACGGTGCAGTGTTGCCAATCTGGGAAATCGATTAGTTACATAATACATTTTTCATTATTCAACCAATAAAAATAATACATGTTTATGTTTTAAAACTAATAAACATAATTGGCCACATCTCGTGTGATAGACAAAGTGACGAAACTTAATTGGAGACTCCTGTACGGAGTATCCACTTGCGTTTTTTATGATAACACGTTGCCCGTCTGCCCAGACACCAAGTACAGTCCAAATTGATGATGAGCGCCTTGCTTCGACTTGGATCGAGTGCGTGCTACATCGAGACGATAAACGGAATGTGGTGAAAGGCTGCCTTTCCCGATATTCTTATGCACCTGGCCGAAATATAGCTCTTGATTTCTCCCCTTTCCCCAGCTGACACAGGGCGTGGTGAAAAAAGGCAATACCATTCGCGAGAAGGTAGATGGCAGCACAAGCGAGGAAGCCCGTTTGTGAGACGCCTTCTTCCCTGATGAGACATCCTCGCAGGATATCACAAACTGTTGGCTTGAATGATGTTCGGATCCAGTCGTGACTTCATACGGATAATATTAAAGAAGATAGGATGCGGAGGCAAAACTTAACCAGGTTTTTCGTTGTTGGGAGAGGGCTAAAGACAGATCTCTGGATACTTCCAGGGCCCGCAATGACGATATCCATGACTGGTCAAGCCATCAGGATCTTGGATTGAAACGGCAAGCTAAACCAGAGCAGGGGCCGATGGTTCTCGGAAAACCAGCCTAAGGCAATGTGTCTGTATCCCTGTGTGGAATCCTCTGCATAAGATAGAGTCGAGTTGGTAACTCTGCAGCTCTTGTCTGGAGATGGGGTTAGCTGGTGGATCAGCTCAATCTGGCTACATGTTTCGGTGACGGGGAATACTCCAGCTCGATCAAAAGCTAGTAGCCAATACCATCCATCTTCGCATTGTTGGTTGTAGCTGTGTCGATGTCGTTGAAAAAGAACATTTTGCCGCTCCTGTTTTGCCCCAAAAGGGATGACCGCCTCTGGATGGGCGAAGGTGATATATCAAAAACCACGCTCAGAGTCGGGTCTATTATATTTTCCATTTCTTCGCTTGACACTGATAAATAAGCTACAAGTTTATTCAATTTAAGACCTCGCCCTGTATATCAACCTCAAATCGGGTGAACTCAATCGTCTGACCTCTCTAGCACTTACTTGCATCGGATGTACGGAGTACTTAGGCAAGCAATATCTCAAAAATAGCCGTTAGCCTGTTAGTGTTATGGCAAACATTGAGATTCAGCATAAACAGCAGTCATATGTACGGGGTACCTGTCCTTCACGGCTATTTCGCACATCACCACTATCTAGTGGCTGGAGATGAAGAAGCAATTATCAGCTGTCAAGACTTGAATACTTCTGCTTTTCTTCTTACGAAATACCCGGCGAGTCGTTTGGTATTCTTATCGAGCCTCGTTACTGTCCAACAAACGCTTAAGATCCCACCCTCCTTCGTTATTCTTTGTCTATGTATGTATGCGTTTTGATCACACTTTACCCCTGAGAAAGGTCGTCTTGGTATGTTCTGTTTAGGTAAACGAATGACCCTACGATGTCACAGCATGCAGAAGCCTACGGAGTACATTGAGGATGAAAGGGAGAGGGAAAAACAATTGGGGTAACGCATTCCATCTCCAACGTTACGTAGCCCGGGACTTGTTAGGTAGTTAGTGAGGTCCAACCAGCAACGAGACCGCCTTGTCCGGCCCCAATAGCCTATGTGCATTGATCCAACCTCGTCAGCAGAGCAATCAGCCGGCATATTCAAAGGTGGCCTGACTTGTGACAGCGTTTGGTGTTCCAGTAGCTAAGACATGTCGGGAAGTTACACGTCATACCTCCAAGTGAGTGAGTGTTCCGTCTCATCTGTACTCCCTACTCCCGTCCAAAAACATCTGAAGGACGTGTGATGGACTGAACCTCCATCGCCAGCAATCACCGCTATCACCACCACCAGCCACGTCCCAACGAAAGATCTAGTGTGTCCTCTTGTCAGCCCATGGTGCCGGGTAAGGCGCTAAAAACGTGCTCAGCGGATTCCTCGGGATGGGATCCCATTTGCCCTGCACATGAACAAGACTGCATGTGCCGATACTACGGGGAGGAGCAGTTAACGAAGGTGCGGTGGTCGATATTTCTGACTGGTAGAGAGCAAGAGTAGCAAGGAGTGCGGACTATTGAATCGATCAACACCCCTATTGCTGGGAATCCCTATCATGATGCAAGTGAAGTGAAGGAAAGATATAGTGACTAAGGGAGGGGGGGAGAAGACAGGAGAATGATGGGTGCATGCCTTATACGAGTACGCAACAGGCGTATGTAAATGTCGCTTACACATACGGAGTATACACAGCGAGCAGCATCGGCATCACCGTCATCGAATCGCCCATCCCAATCCTCTTCATAAGTATGGAGTTGCTCACCGTTCTTTAAATTTATTCCACACGGCTGAAAAGCCAAAAGGCAAAAATGCAAATCATTGCAAATCTCAGGCACTACCCTTACCTCATGGGTAACAGGCATTATCCTCAACGATTCGTATTCAGTGACCTCATGCCTTGTGCTCACCGCTCGACCGCCGCTTAATAGGAAGCGAGGGCCGTTGCTGCATATTATAATAAGATCACAGTTAGATGAAATAAAAATAAATAAATAAATGTTTTCTCCGTGCTCCGTTTATCGTCGTGCATGATCAGAGCGACATCGAACAAGGGATCAAGCCGACGATTGGCATTGGTGCTGCACTCCGGATTATGATCCCAGGCTGGTGAGCTTTATTTGCTGCTATGCTCCGTTATGTCACTTTGCATGTCGATGGCTTGTCGAAGCCGCCGATCTCAGCCTTATCTGAATTCCTCTTACCCATCCCTCAAATGCGAGTGTGTGCCTCTTTTTCCCCCTAGGAAAATCGCTCCTTGTTTGTAATTTTTCTCCGGACTAGTAGTTATGGGGTCTTCTCTCTCCTGTACTCCGTATGGGTAGTGAGATGCGTGTTGTGTGCTGTTTTTGTAAGACGCCGACGGTTCACATATACACCCTTTTTTTTTTCTTTAACGGCGGTGGTGGATCCTACCCCCTTCGCCTTCTCTTCTCTTCCCCCCTTGCTGTGGGTCGAATAAATGAAAGGGTATGAGAAACATCCAAGGCAGACAATCAACACCTGCGAACATCCGTGTATGTCGACAAGCTGATCGATAAATCAGCCAGAAGAGTCGTACGGGTCAAGGGATTGCAATGTCCCATAGTCTCTCAGTTACGTATATTGTGCAGCCAGTGCAACTTTGAAGAGAGAGGCACGGAAAAGAAAAGAAAAGAAAACAAGACCCGGAAGATGTCTGACTGCCCAAGTGACGATGTCGAGCAGCCACTTAACGTACAGTCTCTCCGTACTCCGTAACTATGTACTCCGTACCCCGTAGTTAGTTGCCCAGCTTCCTTTTTTTTTCGATTATTTTTGGACGGCCGTTTGAAGTTCGAGCAACTATCGAACAACATCTCAGGTAGATTGGATTGGTAGCACGAGTAAGTGTGAGAAAGGCTGCTGCCACGACTGGTCCAGCGGAGAGGGCGCCTGATAGGAAATTCCCTCCCTCCTTCCCTCTCTCAGTCTCTGTTGCCCGTGTCTTTCCCCCCTATTATCTGTCATATCTTGCGTGTTATTATTTCGCTTTCCGTCGTGTTCCTGTCCTGTCCTGACCTGACCAATGCAAGGCTTCACCACATATGTACTGTGATGAGAAAACCGTAATCAGCATATAGGCAGGGTCCCGGGGTTTGGGTCTCTCCTTTCTATCAGCCTGCTCGCCCGTTTGTACCTCCATCCGCCCTCAGCTGGCGAACCTCTCTGTCGGAACCCGAGTCTGTAACGGCGCAGGGGAAAAGGCGACTAGGAGAAGCTTTGGCGTCTGTCCCAAACACTCCAACTCCATCCTGCTAGTCCCAGTTGTTAGTTGGTATTATTAGTTAGTTTGTCGAACCCAGGGCATGGCAAGTTTTGTTTGTAACGGGGGGAAATTGTATGGGGGCAGCGCGATGACGTAGCTAGTCGAAGCGTGAATGAATAGAAGAATAGAGAGAGACCCGCCAAGGGACAAGGGGGAGGAAGAAGAAAACGGAGAGGAAGAAGAGCAAAAAAGTACGGGATCTCCTCCTGCTGCTGCTGTTGGCTGCTGCTGGATTGCTCGTTGTTTAGTTCGCTGGCCGTGAAGATTTTTCGAAGTTTTTATTTTATTTTGTTTTATTTTTCTTTCTTTCACTTTTACTTTTCCCCCAAGCAGCAGATGAGGACGATATTACCGAAAGCGGAAGACTACAACACTCAACTTCGACTTCACTCACGCCCTCGACGTCGTCTAAAGAACAACGACAAGCATCAGCAACATCGCCCACGACGGTATCGATTTTTTTGTCAGCCGGCTTTCTTTTCTTTTGCCTGTCGTCTGCATCTTCCTGACCCCCGAGAGATGCATGGCTTGCTGCTGCCCCTACCCGCCTGTCGCTCGCCTGTAAAGTCGTCGTTGTAAGCCTCTTCTCCGCCTCCAAGAGCCACCTCCGCCGCCGCCAACGGGGGGGGTGAACCAGCCGGACAGGACACGACAGCGAGATAGACAGAGATAGACAGCCAGGCCTGACAGAGAAAGACATAACTGGCCAGAGGACGGCATGTCAGCATGCGGACTCCGCCGCTACCTTCACCTGTTGGTCCTCTTGCTTCTATGACCTCTCCCGGCCAACACCAACACCAGCACCAGCACCAGTGCCGCCGTCTCTCCTGCTCACAGCCGGAGGACAGCCTTTACCAGCAGGATTACCAGCAGGACGATCTTCACCAGAGCCAGCAGTACCAGCAGCAAGAGAGCCAGGGTTCATCAATTCTTGTTTCTAACCTGACGCAGTCGGCACCGCGCCCGAGTCGTGATACCAACATCACCCCCAGACCTTTCTCATGCCATTCCGAGTTTGCTACCTGCGGAACCATTAGAAACAACAGCAACGATGCGGCAGCATCAGATCTCAACTTGACAGACGCTGGCCCTCATCAATCGTCTCGAAATAGCAAGAAGCCAAGCGGCATTGTCCTTGAAGAGCTACGGAAACGCATGGGTGAGACCATCATGAACCAGCAGCAGCAACATCTGCAGCAACAACAGCAGACGGCACAGCCCTATTACGCCCAGGAATCCGTCTCTACCGACTCTGGATTCACTGACTCGGATACCAACATGACACCAAACACATCCGATGAAAAGGTTGCTCAATTAACTCAGCCGTCGGCCCCTAGATCTCCATCCTCGCGATCAACGCGGCCACCAACCCTGCCACAACGGTCACTAGTCACTCCTCCGTCACCGTTTGACACTCGTTCAAATAGAGCCATTGCCGAACAGGACGGTCATCTCGCATCTTCGGCAGCCATGAACTTGAGTACAAACGCCGCCAATACTGCAAACTCAAACGGACTAGGATTCCACGGCCAGCAGCACCAGCCTCACCAGCCATACCTACACTCTCCTCGGGGAATAAAACCAAAGCGGCGGTCTATCAGACATCCTTACACAGCTGACACCCTCAAGAGGATGAACGAGATGCCAGCTGCTTCCATAACAGCTGCTCCGGCAGACTTCTTGCCTCCTGGTACCGCACCGATCACCGACAGCTCTCCATATCCGACCCCAAATCTCTATGATATCACTCTTGCTTTAAATGCCGACCCCGGCCTTGACGGATGGTGGTCCAATGTGGTACCGATTCTGAAAACCCACTACGGTGCTGAAAGGCTCACCCTTGCGGTCCCTGGCGATGCTACTGATCTAGAAAATGTCCCGTGGCTACAGAAGGCTACGTACAGTATATATGGAAATGACTTGATCCCCTCTGTCTTTTCACCACACGCTAACACCAAGGTTGATTGTGAAAAGCCCTCCTCTAAGGCTCGCTTCAGCGAGGCTACTAAAGAGGACGGTAACACGCTCAAGTATACCAAGTCGGTTACCGGGAATCGTCGTCCCAAGCTAATGGGCCGTCATTCATTCGCTGGCCATGCTTCTTACTCTGCAGAGAAATGGAACGAAGATGCATTAGGCACCCCTACGCCGCTGAAGGGCCGCCATTCGCGACGGAAAAGCTCTAGTGGGGAGTTTAGGAAACCGCGCAAGCACATGCGTGAGGATGAAATCATGGCCGATGTATGCGACTACAACACTGTCCCATTGAGTGGGACCTTTCAACAACTGCACCGCAACCAGTCCTGTGGACCTAGTAGCGGCGAGTTACCCGGATCCGCGCCAGGACTCGGAGCGGGGCCTGCGTCTGGGCCACCGAGCCCGACTGCGGTTGTCTTCCCTACCGCTAGAGCGCTGGAAGTTGAGCCTGAACCATTAATCAAGCGGACAGGCGTGGTGAAGCTCTTTGGCCGCACTACTCCCGTTGCACTAACGAGAGAGTACGCTGATGATCCTATGCAAGATGTCTCATCTGATGCCAGTGCAGCAATTCACAAGCATAAGGACATCATCCAGCGTACCCCACGCTCCGAGACACCAGGAGTACCGCCGAAGGGGCCCATACCATCCCACCGCTCCACTCCGCTCTCTCTTAGCCTAGCTTCTGCCCATGAACGCAGGGGTATCCCGAAATCCACACTCTTGGACCGCGAATACCATCTGATTCCATTCGATCCTTCTCCTCCATCCCAAAAGTACGAAGAGTATGAACAAACCCCGCCTTCTCCTTGGTCACAGTCTCCTGCTCCATCACCTGCTCCTCTTCTAAAACCAGACGTCAATCCGTTCTTTGTCGAAACATATAATGAAGTGAACGAAGATGCATTCGCCTCGAGCCCGCCGCCGCACGATTATTCAGAAACAGTGCCCTTAGAGGCCATTGGTATAGATCGTGCAAAGACTGTCATCCATATTCCCTTAATCCACTCAGCCTCGTCGCGACAGGGGAGGTCGGATACGCTCCGCTTTCCTGTCGCCGTTATATCCCTCCTAGCGCCCATTATTCCCTATCCAGCTAATCTCCGAAACTCCCTAGCCCTACTACTTCCTCATCTTACGACTTCGTTTTGCCTTGCGCAGCAGTATAGCCAGTTAGAAAAACAGAGCACTAGCCCGACCATTGAGCGCTATGGCCACCTCTTGGGCCTAGGAGGTACCTTTTCAGACGCTAATAGTGAGCTTGAGCTCATTAACGGTCTATCGGGACATGTAAACTACGCAAGTCCCTTGACTCAGTTGAGCGGTGGTGATGCTGCTGGTGAAGGATATTTTAGATCCAAGAGCCCGTCTTCGACCGAAAACAACAGCAGCAGCATTGCGGCTGCTACTTCGGCAATGGCCAATCACAGTGTCCAGAGCACTCCGACCGAAGGACTGGCTATCGCAATCCCTCAGTCACAACAAAAGAATGCATACGATGAATTAACTTCGAGAGACCCAGGATTGGTGCATACCCCTTCGATTGCCGAAGCTCCGGCAAAAGCAAGCCAGAATACTCCACAAATGCTCGCCGAATTTTCACGTCATTCGTCAACAGGCTCCTTCACCGCTCAATGGCATCGCGAGGCCCCGTCACGTCCCTTCCCAGACACAGTTGCGCAGCTGATGCTCAACTCAATACCATTACACCTTTTTCTTGCAAAGCCACACACGGGCGAAGTTATTTGGACCAATGCGAAATTTGATGCGTATCGGCGAAGTCAGCCTATGGAACCGCGAGTTCGGGACCCCTGGCAAAACGTTCATTCCAGCGAATATGAAAAGGTATTAAAACATTGGACCAAAGCATTGCGTACCGGATCACAATTTACAGAACGCGTACGCGTCAAACGCTTCAATGATGAATCTGAATATCGTTGGTTTATTTTCCGAGCCAATCCGCTCATATCAGGGGCGGGTGAACTTCTGTATTGGATCGGCTCATTTTTGGATGTTCATGAACAACATGTCGCTGAGCGAAAGGCCGCACAGGAGCGAGAAATGTTCGCCACAGATGTCAAGTACAGAGCGCTCGCCAATTCAATTCCTCAGGTTGTGTTTGAAGCTGCAGAGTATAGCGGGCTGATCTCGGTAAATGAACAATGGGAGCTCTACACCGGTCAATCTCTCGATGAAGCAATGACTTTGGGCTTTGCAAAATATATTCACCGTGATGATCTGGAGAAATGTGGTATCTTATCGCCTCCACAGGTTATTCCGGAGTCAAATGATATACCGGAGTTTGCTCGTATAATGTCTAATGGAAATCTCGCCGAAACACTCCTGGAAGCTGAGAAGTGTCGAAGGAACTCAACACAGGCGTCATCGTCGTCTTCTCCACAGCAGCAGCAATATGATAATCCGCTCAGAGTGTTCGGTAAAGGCGTCACGCCTGCTCTACAGGAACTCGTGCGACGAGAAATTGTTACAATCCAGCGTGATGAGAATGGCCGAGATTCTTATACTACTGAGATCAGATTTAGGTCCCGAAAGGGTGATTTCCGCTGGCACTTAGTACGATTGGTCAAAGTTGAGACACCTGACTTTGGTAGCGGCGAGGCGTCGTGGTATGGTACATGTACTGATATCAACGATCGCAAGCTATTAGAGCGTGAGCTCAATACTGCCTTGCAAAAGTTAAACAGGGAGATGGAGTCCAAGACCAAGTTCTTCAGCAATATGTCTCATGAGATTAGGACACCGCTTAATGGGATATTAGGCACAATCCCGTTTGTACTGGATACCTTGCTTGACAACGACCAGAGGCGAATGCTGGATACGATTCAAAACAGCTCGACGAACCTTCGTGAGTTAGTAGACAACATACTTGATGTATCGAAGGTGGAAGCCGGGAAAATGAACATTGTCCGGCAGTGGTTCCACGTCCGATCTGTACTCGAAGATGCCATAGATACCATTAGTTCTAGGGCGATCGACAAAGGATTGGAACTAAACTATCTGGTTGACGCTGACGTTCCTGCGACCGTGTTGGGAGATCGATTCCGCATCCGTCAGATCTTGATCAACCTCATGGGCAATGCGGTCAAGTTCACTACCCAAGGCGAGATTTGCACGCGATGCTCGATCCTCATTGATCCCAGCATTAAAACCCAACCTTCCGAGATCCTGCTGAATTTTGAAGTTGTGGATACCGGTAAGGGATTCAATTCAACAGATGCAGAACGCCTAATGCAACGGTTCAGCCAGATTGAAACGAACGGATCGCAGCAGCACGCCGGTAGTGGATTGGGGTTGTTCTTATCAAAGCAGCTTGTAGAGATGCACGGAGGTCGGTTGACACCTACCAGTAAGGAAGGGCGGGGAGCTAAGTTCTCGTTCTATGTGATGGCCGGGGCGCCGTCGCAGCAATCCTCGGAAGAGACAGCCACGCCATCTACGCCCGGCCAAGTAATGGAGATTCAAGGTGGTGAGCAACTGTCACGGCCACCTACCGCGCCAGTATCGACAGGCGAAGAAAAGCGACTGCCCATTGCCAAACCGAAATCTGAGTATTACACATCCACTGCGGCGCCGCCAACTCTATATTCGCGAATGAAGCCAGTCGAGCCCTTCGACCCAGACCAAGCGTACAACACGGTGTTAGTCTGTCCGTTTGACTATGCTCGAGAAGCAATCAAGCAGCACATTGAGCAAGTTACGCCTTATGAAGTGCAGGCCAAGATAACCTGCCTGCTTGACATTGAAGATTGGAGGGACCTACGAGTCAACAACCCTGAACCTCTGACGCACATAGTCCTTGGCCTTCCAGAACCTGATGAGGTGATTGAGATATTGTCCGCTTTTCTGAATGTTGATCCTAAAGGCCCTCCTCCTCCTACGATCGCGATAATAGCAGACATATACCTTAAACGCAGCATCTCTAACGTGTACAAGGAGCTCCTAGCTCTTGGGAGGAGTATATTCATTGTGCCCAAACCTGTCAAGCCAAGCGTCTTTTCACTGATATTCGACCCCGGTTGCAAGCGCGAGCTGAGCAAAGACAGAAACCAAGATATGGCACGTGAGGTCAACAATAGCTTCAAGAATATGTCCAAGATCGTCAAGGAGGTCATTGGCAATAAGGGGTATAGAGTTTTACTTGTCGAGGATGACGAGACAAATCGGACGGTATGTATTAATATTCTTATCTTACATTTTTCATGTTACTGGTGCTAACATTGACATGACCAGGTCATGCTAAAATACCTCGATAAAGTCAAGCTTGTCTCTGAAACGGCAGGGAACGGCCAAGAGTGCGTCGACATGGTCTTCTCCAAGGAACCGGGCTATTACTCATTGATTATTGTACGTTTACCTGTCCTCTTTTCATCCCATCATATCTGATTCTAACGTGCCGGCAGTGCGATATCCAAATGCCTGTTAAAAACGGGTATGATACCTGCAGGGAGATCCGGTCATGGGAATCCCACAACCACTTCCCCCAGATCCCAATCATGGCGCTCTCCGCCAATGCGATGGTAGATCAGATTGACGATGCTGCCCACGCCGGCTTTAATGACTACGTCACCAAGCCGATCAAACACAATGAGCTCGGCAAGATGATGATGGAGCTGCTTGACCCTAGCTCTCCGCGTGTCCTTCTCAAAGACCGCAAATCATAGCCCTCCCCGACGACCTTTCCTTTCCTTTTTCTTCCTCTATCTTTGTTTTATCTTTTCGTTTTCAATCTACTTCATCGTTCTTTGGCTCATCCAGGGCAAGGAAGGGCGAGTGAAAAAAATATCCGGGCTTTCTAATGGGTTCCTAATGTTTCTTCCTTTCCCCCACGTTATCCATGCATTATTTATATATCTGACTTCCTTCTGGGCTTTCTGCTATACACACGGCTTTCCTCTTCATTCCCCCCCCCCCCCCCATCCTCCTCTAACTACGCTCCCTCTTCTACGTCCTGGGTCCTTTATGCTGTCCTTTCCTGGCCTCACGCTTGTTCTGGCTTTCAATCGGTGCATGGGTTAAATGGGAGGAATTCACAAACCGGTGGCTACTTTTGCTTTTACTTTTGTTTCCTTTCTGGATTTACTTATTAACTATACATGATCCTTTTTCTTACTTTTTTTTTTTACTGTTATTGTTCTCCAGCTCGAAACCAAGGACGCAAAATGGAGTAGAAGAGAAATATCGGGACTAAATTATGATAACCGTTAGTTATTATTACTTCAAGTGCTTCTTTCAAGGCTTCCTCTTGCTGCGCTCTATTTCTCTCTACCTCTCTACTCCATATTACGATCGATGTCTCGTATAACTAGCTGGTTAATTAATAGGTACCTCATGGCTGACAAATGGACAAATGGCAAAGGGCCTATTGTTGAAATTGATCCTTGAACTAAACACAAAGATCAATGTTGACTAGCAATAACTACTCTAGTTGGTTACTTGAAGTAGTCTGAGACACGCCTCTGGAAATCACCCACTTCATTCCTCCCTTTTTCCAACTGTTCATTGAATTGCTCTCTAGGTACTGGCTGTTGATCCTTTGCATTTTCGGGAACATATTCATCGGCGGCCCGGATAACCTTGATTAATATCTCTGCGAGACCCTGAAACCACAGTGCACATTCAGAGAGTAGAGCCTTCATTGCTTTTTGTGCAGTTTCATTGGCAAAGTAGTCCTCGAGGACCTTTTTCTCAGTTTCTGATGGATATTCCCCTGCTTTGAAGTCCTTTTCAAATTGGTCCATCGTAGCCTTTGGTAAAGAAGGCTCCTATAGTTACAGTATCATACGACTCCGTTAGTTCATAGTTAACTAGTTAACCAACCAATAGTTATAAAAAAGTGCGAAAAGAAAAAAGGTAGCAACCTTGTCAAAGACAATCTCCCTTAAAATATCCCTCTTGGTTCCAGGAACTGCGCCGAGGAAAATCCTGAATTCTTCAGCGAAATCGTTAAGCGACCCTATTCTTGAGGTACCCGACCTAGGGAGAGTGTCGGTATTCAGCCACACTATATCGTCATGCTCTACGTGAACACTATCGACTGAGTGTGAAGGTCCGTTTCCCATTGACTGTCCATATTCCTTTTTCATTTCTTTCATGATTTTGGCAGCTTCTTCAAGCTGTTCTTTGGTGAGCTCTGGCAGTTTTATAGGTTTTCCTGATTCATCAAGCCCTTGCCTCGTAGGGACAGCATATTTGAAGAAAGGATTGGTCCTTGCCTGGCATCGCAGCACTAGCGAGGCACTGATACCGTCTGCTATATTCATGATCTCCTTGTCGTAATTCTCATATTTTCCGCCAAAGAAACGGTAAACGAGATCTTTGGTCGTTTCAAGTTGTAGCTTTCGAATAGCAACAAGCTCGTGGATCCTCTCCTGGACATAGCCTTTAGCGTCCTGGATTCTATCGTACTCCTTGTTGGACATCACATCGATATGCTTGGCCGGTCGACGGATTTCTGCCTCTCGCTCGGCTTGTACAGAGTCAAACTTACTCCATTGCTCGTCCAATTCGTTCAATCTCATTGAGAGTCTTTGGAGGCGTGAGAAATCCATCTTTGCTGAGGGGGAGGAAAGGGCAAGGGAAAGTTGGTTGAAGAGGGTATTGTAAAAAGAATGCAAGTCAATAATAAAGAAGTCTGTGAAGAGTTCCAGGACTTGGGTGGTAGTTAAGTAAATCTGTTGTTGACAGGATAGCTTGACTCTTTAAATACCTTACTTCTACAGCATTGATGCAAACCGCAGCTTGTACATAGATGAAAAGACCCTATGCAACCATGCTGAGAAAGGAACCGTGGTCAATTGATCTATCTGTGATAGATCATGATATCGGAAAGCAAGCCAAAGATCCAATGCAGAGAGAAGCCGAGAACAACTCACAAGGAGAGCTGGGTGTAGCGAGAAGAACAAGCCGAGGCGGTTGGGATTGCAATTGCAAAGCACGCGGGGGTGGCCAACGCATCTCAGGTGGATCGCCTGCCCTCATGGGTGAAGAATGCAATCAAGATCCATGGCCCTGTGTCTGCAGCTCTAGAGGTAAAGAACCTTCCTGCAGCTGCTGTGGCTTTTGTTATGACCGAAAAAAGGGCTTCTTAAACACCAGGCTGTCTCGCAGGGCGATCATCCCACCATTCTTAGCTATATCTACACCAGAGCTTCAAGCCGGACGATTGGCGATGAGATGCCTCAATATACAGCCGCACCAGCGCCCTAGCTATGGGCAAACAGATGTGGCTAACAAGTCCACGTGCATGTTTTTGCACTGCGATGGGAGTTGCAAGGTTGCAGGTAGATCTCACAAGGTATGCAATGTATTGTAGATTCTCGAGGGAATCTATGATGCATACATATAATACTAATGGGGTGCATCCTCCTGCATTTGCCACCAGATCTATCCTTGGCTATCTCATTGAGCATATATCTACAGTGCTCCCTTCGAGCTTACCCTTATAGTATCCACTAGTTCCTAGGTTTCCTGTATATCCTCACTGGAGACGCCATTGATACTGTAGCTTCTGATTTTGAACCCAGCGGACAACGGGCACCAGTAGAGGATTATCAGTTATAGATAGAGATACCACATGGTCTTACTTCTCTTAACCACTTTGATAGAGACCTTTCTTGCTGTAGAATATAACGCTGTCATTAGTGCCTGTTGCATTGTCTCCGGATGTGTATGTTATAACTACACCATCCTTCGGAAGGCGTTCTATTGTGATATTGGGTACAGAGTGTGTGCCGTCTACCGTACTTTTCACGAGAGCATCGGTGGTAGTTAATGTCGTCACTGGCCAGGGGCTCAACTTTCGCATTCTTCCTGGCAACGCAACGTGGTTAGGCATCTGGACGTCCACATCCGTTCCCTCATGCTAGAGCTGATTTAAAATACTCCTTTATCCAGGTAAAAAGTCCAAGATCCAACTGGGCCAATGCTACTAGCCATGTCACACACGAGAGAACGAGTTGATAACTAACGCGCGCTACCTAGCAATTTGTTGGAAGGGTGTGAATTACTATTGGTTAAAGCATTTTCTCTTACGTCCATATTTGCTATCTCTATTGGTTGAACTTGATGGTAGGACCACTAAGTTAACCAGTAAGCACCATTAATAAAATTTAAAGTCTATGACTGCCCAATCAATTAATTATTACCACTAGCCCCTTATCCTTCGCAATGGGGCAGTGGTGTAGTTTAGTTTATTGGACGGGCCAGCCACCTTTATCAATAAGATTTATGATTGGTTGAGAAGTAGCACTAGGAGCGGAAGGAAGTTATTCCAGGTCACCTGATGCGTGAAAAATGACAGATATTCATTATGTACCGGGGGGGGGGGATATAAGGGGATATACTCCGTAAGGGAGATTGCGAATTGAAGCTCTCCAAACGAGGCATTATGGGCTAAGAAGTCAGCCTTAGTGTAGTATTGAGTAGAGGGAAAAGCAGGAATTGAATAGCTTACTGTCAAATAGGTAGCTAACTAATTAGCAAACCATACAAGCAGCGACTAGCCATGCAAGCAGCCAGGGAACCAGGTGAGATTAGAATCTGCAGACCCCCATGTATGAAGCATCGACTTCGCCCTACAAGTATCTCGCGTTTTTCTCCCTCTTCTGCGCTTTTTGTCCCTTTCCGTCAATTCCTCTTGTCTGGCCGCAATTTTCAATGCGAGCAACGGCGACGATCGGGCAGCATCAGCTCGTCCCATATCAGCGGCAGCCAATGACAGGAGAAACTAAGCAGTTAGTTAGTTACAGACTAATTATCTAGTTCCATGCAGCCTGTCAGACCGTTGGAGCAGCTTGACCCCGCCCGCGACGTGAAGATCGAAGTCGCCTGCCATGAGAGCTACGAATGGGAAATGCGGCAGGTACTTGCGGCTACACCACAGGATATCGAGTATCTTCGAGGTAAGGGTTTCCCGGTAGCCGCTTGTTGAAAGCCGGCCAATATGGGCTGGCACATAGAGTTGGACGAACAGGGTGGTTTTGGGGGCCAGGCGACAGCGCTGAAGATGATCCTGGGTGGTCAAAGGATCTATACCCCTCCGTTACTCTGTCCCGTCTTCCGGTCGCTTCCTATGATATATATATTGCAATTATGCGACTGGACTGCGACTCTGATATCCTAAATACCCATCGGGAATAGACAGAGCGGTTACCACAATTCTCCAAGGATTAGTAAAATATCCCACAATGGCCTCTTCGACCCTCCCATTGAACTGTCGCCTTATCAATATCGGTACTCACTCGCTAGCTCTATATACCCACGGCCCGGAGCCTGGCAGCTCCAAAGATCCTGTCGTACTATTCATCTCTGGTGTGGCAAGCGATTCTCTCAACTGGCAGGCCGTGGTGCGGCTGCTGGGTTCCTCGCTGCAGACCTACACGTACGACCGCTCTGGATACCACAACTCCGAGTCCTCGCCGCTTGCTGCCTCAGCCGAGAACGTTGCTCTGGAACTCTCTCTTCTAATTGAAAAGGCACCTATCCCTAACCCCCTAATTCTCGTGGGCCACTCCTGGGCCGGCGTGCTTTCACATGAATACCTTGCCCTAAAGGGGACTGGCCAAATTGCTGGCCTGGTGCTTGTGGACGCCAACCATGAGACAGCACCACTAGTGATGAATGTGAATGATCCAGTTCTCTGGACTGTTATAGCTGCTGGCGTTGACCCATATTCTGCCTGGGGCGTGGAGGCAAATCACAAGCTAACGCAGGAGGAATGGAACGCATTCAGAGCGGCTGAAGCAACCGAGAAGTTCGAGCTAATTGCGCACAAGGAGGATGAGAATTACATGCCCAGTTTTGGGACTCTACGGAAGAAAGAATTGAGTAAGAAGCAGCCACTGCTCGGAGATAAGCCAGTGTATGTGATTGCGGGTACACGCAGCAGAGACTGGACTGGATTGTACAATGCGGGAGTTGCTAAAGGGAACGGAACCGAGGAAGAGAGAAGCTATGTGAGGGGGTTGATTAAAGCTGTTGATGCGAAGAATGAAGGCCTTATGAAGAAGTTTTTGAAGCTGTCTACAAATAGCGAGCTTGTATTCGCTGCAGAGAGCGGGCACTTTGTCCAGATGACCCAGCCGGAAGTTGTTGTTGATGGAGTGAAATGGGTCCTACACAATCTGCCAGTATCTCTCTAGAATAAACGTAGAACAACATGTATGTAGATAAATCTGTGGAATTGATAACTACCGTTCAGGATCCCAAGAAACGACTACTCATAGAGCGGAATATAGTAGGCAGGGAAGAAGATGTCTGGCTGGGACTAACTATATGCAAACACTCAAGGACGAATTGGTCGTTTATATAGTTAGCTATTCCTCCCAAGAGCATTAGAGCATTTGGCAACCTCTATAGCTAACAATCTACTCTTCCGTCTCTAACTCTGCCAAATATGTCCCTGCTTCCTTGTCATATACAAGTGAATTTACAAATAACCATGCTGGGGTCAAACGGCACACGGACACTGAACAGCGAGTCCAAGGCACTGAAAAGGTTGGAGGAAAGCTTCGTAGCCAGGTATTCCCTGGTTAACTCCTTAGCTGACTGCTTAACCCGTTAGCTACTGGGGCCCGGCGAATAAGCAAGTTGGGTACCTGCGACGATCGCAAGGATCTCTCTGCCCATGTGAGAAATAACTATGTCACTAAGTTGGCGTTTGGAGCCCAACGGAGAGATCAGAGCATTGGGAATAACTGTCTCCAGCAAGGCACCTGCTCAGTGGATGGCTGAAGCATGCGCCTGCATGCGAGGTTTAAAGGCAGTCGACTAGTTATAACGGCGAGCCTCTCGCACTAGTTGAATCAATCCTGAGCAGGAAGACCTGAATCTCTCAGTAACGAGTTTAGTTACCTGGTTAACTTGTCTAGTTAGTTAGGTGACCTTGGACTACCTGCCGGCCGTTTTTAGTGATATTGATCAGCTTCACCGTCTAAAAAACTGCGGTGACTAGTTGGTTATCAAGACAAGAGAAGCATTGATATGACTATGATATAACAACTAATAATTAATAGCGAGCAGTTGGTAGCATGACAGCCAGCCGGTACTATAACTAACCAGTTGATAGAAGAAGAAATGTCCATGATCCATTGACCTGCGGCGGCCTCCGTCAGCCTCCAGCCGCTGAGCTGTAGAAAAGACGAAGACGAAGACGAAGACGAAGCCCAACGGCCAACGCCCGATGAACGACCGATCCGCAGCGCTGATGGAGGGTGTCGCTGGCCTCTGAGAGGACTGACGGTAAGCAGAGCAGCATCTCTGGCCGCTCGCCGCCGAGCGTCTCCAGCCTGGCCCCGGCTTCTCGCTGCCAAACTCCCAACGCTTTGCCTGTGTTATCATATTACACTTTTGTCAACTACCTTGCTTCCTGCTCTCCTGCAACCACACACACTCTCTCCTCCTCCTCCTCTCTCCTCCCCCCCAGCCCTAGCGCCTGTCTCTGGCGAATCCACGAGCAGCTGGGCATGGACTCCGCGGGGGGCGAGGCGGGGTCCAGCCAGCGCCAGCAGCGAATCGGCGGACGGTGCTATGAGAGGGAAGAAGGGATCGGGAAGGGATCTATCTGGACGATGGGGACGGACGGACCGGGGGGGCTGCCAGAGGGCAAAAGAAAAAGGGGGGGCGCCGTAGTTTTTTTCTCTCTTTTTCTTTTCTTTTTCCGTTTCTCCCTCGTCTTTCCCTTTCCCTTGTTCCTCCGATGACGAAGGAGAAGGCAGCGAGCGAGGGCAGGACGGGAGGAGCCAGAGGGACAGAGCAGCCCCCGGGAGAGGGAGGGACTATCCCCTTTCGGGCAGGGCAGGGAGCCCGCGAAGGGTATAAAAGGGGCCTCCTCGTCCTCGCCTGCTCGTCTTCCTCCTTCTTCCCTATTTTCTCGACCAGGACGAAAGACTCTGCCATTGCCTACTCTGCTCTACTCTTGCGTAGCTACATACACAGACATACCATACCAGTCCCTGATACCCAGTATACCCTACCTGCCTGCCTCATCACTATCACCATCAATCATCACCGCTGTCATCACAATGGAGACTGCCATGAGAGCCCACAATGCCTCCTTTCCCATCAACATGCCCTCCAAGGCTCCCGCCAGTGCAAACTACTATCCCATCTCCCGCATTGCCGGCTCTCCCCCTGAGGTTTCAGATGTCAGCACCACCACCGGCAGCGCCAGCGGTGAATACGACTCCTCGGCCGGCTACTCGGGCGTCGACGTCATCGACACCCTCAACGACCGCATGAGCAACGTCTTCGACCCATCTCGTCTCGACCAGGGCATCGCCAAGCAGACCCAGCTGTACGCTTCTTTCCCCCTTTTCTTCCCCCAACTAATCTCCCCACCAGCCTTTTCTTTCGATCTGCCGCTAGCAGATGTTTCAATGATGGTGTTCTGACCCTCTGCAGCTCCGGCCAGCTCAACGCCAAACAGCGGGAACTCCTCGAACTCCAGGCAATCATGCAACGCCGAGTCAAGGGCGCCAGAGCAAACTTCGCCGAAGGTATCAAGGCCGCAAAGGAGACCAAGGCCGACCTCGAGTGGACCCAAAAACGTGTCGGGTGAGTTTCATCCTTCGCTGCACTTTTTTTCTGCCTCTGCATCCTCGACGGCAACTTTTATTGCTGCTTTTGAGCCCATATACACACTGCCCTTCCTGGTAACCATGTTGGTTTCCGCCCCGCCCCGCCCATGTTGTTTTTCTCCGCCCCGCCGTCCTTGGCAATTTGCGCTGCCAAAAATAATCAGCCGACATTTCTCAGCACTTTCTTTTTTGGCGACTGAAGGTTTTCCTGCTAACCTGTGTACCTGCAGTGCTATGAAGGCAAAGGCCGAATCGGCACTTCCAAAGGAATACCGCTCTGCATCAAGCAAATATGCTTATCCTGAGGATTACTGAACAAACCCCTGGATATTCCACGCTTCTAACGACCCCGCAAAACTAACGACTTTCTTTTTTTTTTGGCGAATTCCCCGGGCAAAGGAGTAACGGTTACCTTGCTTTTTCTCAGTTTCTCTGCTTCCAGGAAAAACGGAGGCAAAATTCTACACTTGGCTGGTTTTTTTGCTCCTTTTTACGTCGGATTATGGATGTCTCAGCCCCTCCCCTCCCCCGCGCTGATTTATTTTAATTTTTATTATTACCATTTCTTTTTATTGACAGGTACAGAGTGGGAGGATATATCTGCTTTTAATGGCCCTGCTACGAAATACTCATGTTCATACAAGTTGGTGTGATCAAAATTTGACCAGTTTATACCTGCTTACCCCCCCTTTTTCCGCGCGCCTTCCATCTGATGCATCACATTTCTCTCAACACCACCACAAACCCAGGCCCAGCGACAGCGACACTCACCTACTACGCCCCGACCTACTCGATACTGTCTGTCGGCAGAAGAAAATTCCCCGCAAGAAGTCTGGTGCGGCATGCAGACCACCCCGCCAATCTCCCGCCGCGCCCCTTGTCTTCCCCTGCAGCACCCCCGCTCCCAGCCCCTCCGCCCGGGATTTCCGCTCCAACCCCCGCCCCGCTGCAGCACTAGCGGAAAACAGCTCAACGCTGGCCCCTGCTTCCCACCACCCCCTTCCAAAAGCTAAGTCAGGGTGACGGACCAGGGGGGCGCAAGGGAACCTGCATACCGGAATCCTTAAAAGCTATTCCACCTATCACCAGCATTTATTAGCGCGATCCGGGGCCCATGGATCCCTTCTAGACTGGTAATTTATGTACGCCCGTATGCCGTAGTATTGATTCGATATGGTCCCTGGTTGCTCCCGTGGCCCCTTCTGCTCGGAGGGTGGTGGGTGGCGGCGTGCCGTACCGTAGAAACAGGAGAGCAAGTGACCTGTTGGATCCTCCCACAGTAAAGTAACGGTAATACTGATACATCCCTTAACCGCCCCCGTGAAGAGGTTATGCTATCTTTATGCCTTTGTAATACGAATAATACCCTTTTCTTCTGGGTCCCGTGGGATGGTGTTGTGCGTGGGATGGGTGGGTGTATATCTTTTTCGAACTTGCCTTGTTGGGTGTAACATCGCACATAAATAACTATAAAGTAGGCCGGTTTGCCTTTTTTCCTTTTGATATTCACTATACGGTGAGGGTAACTCTTGCTTGCTACTTCTAAAGTATGTATTATGTTCAGGGGCTGGCCGGCTGGTCGGTGGTGGTGGTGTGGGTGTGTTGGTGGGTGATGCACGCCCCCTGGTCTGGAGAGATATCACATCTTTTATTAAGCTTGTCTGTAACCTTTCCTTTTTTCTCTAACTAACATCACATCCTTTTCTTTTTTACTACTCCTTGCTTTTCTTATTTCAATAGCAAATCCCAGCAGCCGAAAGCTCCTTCAACTTCAACTGCGATTTTTGATTGCGTTTTGTTCGGCCGCCAACCCTTGCTTCATTCATGTCAACTGTTATGTCCCCAGTTTCGTTCCAGCGCTAGCCAACGGTACCTCTCCGACTATAGTATACCAGACTATCACCACGAAATAACGAAATATCACTCTGAGATCTTAAGATCCCTAGGATCGTAAAAAATGCGAGAGGGCGTGGAAGCAAGACGATACGGCTGCTGCCCCACTGGTGGATATTTCGCAATGAAAGACGGCATGAAGTAGACCGTGTCACCCAATGAGTTGCGGATCTTTCCAGCAGAGAACATCTTGAGAAGTTCAGGGCTCATGATCGTTCCGTTGGGGGCATGGTAGTTCCCTCTCTTGTCGATGTAGTTGGTACGTTTAGGCAGCCCGTTGGCAGCCCCGTCACCCGTGGGTTTGGGAGCAGGAGTTGGCCCTAGAACCATGGTTAATATGAGAGCTGATACGTGGCCGATGGGCTCGATTAACGTACTCGGTCCACCTGGAGGGAAAATAGGACTCCATTTGGTGAGAGGAGGTGCTGCCTCTGCTTCTTCCTCTGCGGGTTCAGAGGAGGGCTTGGAGGGGTCCTCAGCCTCTTTCGGTGGGGAGACTGTCGATTTGTATTAGTATCGTTTCCATAATCGTGCATAAAAATCCCAAAGAGGTATGCTTACCTTCGATGTCTCTAGGAGCAGGTCCATCGGAATCCTGGCTAGTTTCGACCGCCTCAACGTCTTTCTCTTTGTACAAGGGCAATGCCGTGATCTCCTCGGCATCAACTGACTGCTCATTGACAGCAATGTCTTCCTTTGCAGTGGTAGCAGGAGACCTGCCAGTTTGAGGGGTTTCAACAGCTTTTGGCTCATCTCGACCGGCTCTTGGAACAGCAGAGTTTCCATCCACTTCGTCTCGACGTCTCATACCCGGATTGCGAGGTCCAGGGAAATTGCGTCTCTGAGGACGGCGGTTAGTGGTATCCCTCAGTCCCCCAGGGGTATCAGACACAGGCGTATTGGCCGTCGTTACATTGTTTCTTTCCTTTTTAAACTTGTACTTGCGGCCTTTACGCTTGTTGTCTCTCTCAGTTTCAACCCCAACAGAAGAGTCTGGAGCTCTGCCTGCAGTGTTTGGAGTTGGTGCCCATCCTCTAGGGGCGGGAGTAAATGGGGGAGCAGCTGGATTTGGCAGCGAGGATGCTGGAGGACGCGTCACAGCAAAGGTGTTCAGCATGCCAGGGGAGTTGAAGGTCTCAGGCTGTTTCTCTGAGTCCCAGTGGCGTCCATACTGTCCCTTGTGCTGAGTAGATCTGCTATAGAATCTAGTAGACGGCGCGCCAGGCACAGCAGGCTCATTGCCGGCATTAGCACGCGTAGCAGGCATAGCAGGCTCACTGCTAGTATTAGAATGCGTAACATCGCCGTTGTTATCACTAGCCATAGTCGGCAGAGACTTGTTGATATCACGCTTTGCTTTGTAGATAGGAAGGAGGATGGCCAATACTTTATGAGATGAGAGAGCACAGATAGAATAAAGAGGCTTTGGCAGGAAAAGAGAGTTGTGAAGACCCTCTCTCTCTATTAACAAAGAGTGTTGTTGATATTTGATTAGGCGAAGCTTTGTTTTCTTTTGTGTCCTTTAGAAGTTGATTTCATTTCTCTTCCCTTTTAGGAAATCATCACGTGCAGGAGGGAGCGCGTTGCTAGGGGTTTCAAAAAAGAGGGAACTCTGGGACATTCAGACTATAGAAGCCTGAATTCTCACTAATAGAAAGAAAAGCTCTTTGGGGAGAGAAATAGCAACTGGATATCAAAAATTATCTCATTCAACCATAATGTAATAGACTTTCCAGGGGATATATGAAGAAGCAGCAAATTTATATAGCCAATTTCAAGCAAGGACATACTTGAACTGAATATAGAATTTCACTGCAAAGGACAACAGATATATAGCTTGAGGGTTTAATCCTGCATCTTAGTATGTGATAACCTCTTTATACATAATTTTGCTCATCCATTGCTCGAGCAATAACAGACGCAAACCGGCTGGCTCTATCGGTGTCTTGTTTTGCGGTACCAACACCAAGCAGCACCTTTTTTACGCCGACTCCAATCTTATCACTCTGTGTCAATTCTCGAATCCGTGACAAAGCAGATTTGACCTCATCGGAAGACAAAGTTTGTTCCTGCTGCAAGATGTAGGCTAATTCCTCGTAGGTGTTAATGTTTGGTACGGGTATGTCTGAATTGAATGAAGTGAACACGTCGAGTTGCTTCAGGATTGACCGTTCAGTCGTAGTTGCGAGAACTAGCAGACGACGGCCTTTAGGAGGCTGTTTCCTGAGCAGCACCATCACAGCTTGGAGGACTGAGTTGCTGAATCGAGGTCCAATGGGCACCCAGTCAATGATTCGCTCAATGTTGTCCATGACAACAACACTGGTTGGACTCTTATAGGCATCTGTGAACACTTTGTTCATGTGTTGGACTTTAGCCATCTCACTATAGCCCACCATATCTTCTGGGCTAATTAGTTTGACAAAGGGGAAACCTGAGTCAATTGCAATCTTAGCAGCGAGAGCCGTCTTGCCACTCCCAGGCGGTCCATGAAGCAGCACTGAGAAAAGAGATGTTGTGGCATCTGGGTCACGGACTTGTTTGACGAAGAGCTTGCCTTCTTTCCAGGATCTCACCTACTGCTCGGGAGAAATGGGTGGATGCCTCCGTGGATACAAGTCTCGAGCTCTTCTTCAGAAACACCAAAGGCAGGCTTTACCTCTTCTAGTGCTTTGTGGAAGTCCGTTCGGTTGACCTTCGTGTTGACGATGTCATCACTGATGCCAGCCATGGTTCCCACCTTGACGTGACGGTTAAAGGCGAATGACGATGCCGACTTCACCAATCCACTGATTTCGGCACCTGAAAAGTTTTTGGTAAGGGCTGCAAGTTCTTTGATATCCACGTCTCGGTCCATAACATCGTTGTCTCGCATTTTCTGGGTGTGGATCTTCAATATCTGAGCTCTGCCATGCTCATCTGGCAGGGATATTTCCATATGGACTTCTAATCGACCTGGGCGCAGGAGCGCATCATCAATCATGTCCATCCGGTTTGTCATTCCTATAAGCAAGATATTGTTCAGTTGGTCAACACCATCGAGCTTTGATAGAAGCTGGTTGACCACACTATCACCAACACCTGTTCCGCCACCGGCACCGCTGCCTCTCTGTTTGCAAACGGCATCCAATTCATCAAATATGATAATGTGTAGTCCACTTTCGTCTCCCTTCTCCTTGTACTCCTTCTCTGCATCGGCAAAGAGTTTTCTAATGTTCTCCTCAGACTGGCCCACAAATTTATTCAAAACTTCGGGGCCGTTGATGACCTTGGGCTCCCTGGCATTCAGCATTTTTCCAATTTGCCTTGCAATCAATGTTTTACCTGTTCCAGGAGGTCCGTATAGCAAAATACCTTTGACGTGCTGGATACCAAGCTTCTCGACAAGGCCCGGTGGGAAAATGCGGGATGCGAAAGCTCTTCGGAAGATGGTGCTAAATTCTGTGTCCAATCCACCAATACCCATATTCTCAAATTTGAAATCAGGCTGAACTATTGAGTTTGCTGCTGGTCGCCGGTTAGATGCTTTAACATTGATTCCAGTTTTTGCATCTTTGAAAAAGTTGATTAACGTATAACCTGTTAAAATACCTCTGGAGCGAGGATCCGAGGAGGTTGGTGCAGAAGAAGATGGCTTCTCAGTGGTTAAGTCACCAAGCTGGACCGTTTTCACTGTTAGTAGCAAAGGGATGCTCTTGTCATCCATCAATATCTTCTGGCCAGGTGCAAGGATCTGGTCCTCGAAGTTCTACATTGCATTAGTCCTGGATATCCAACCACTAACATAATTCTATATTATAAACATACCTTGATAAATGTCTGCGCAAGTTGGTCTTGGTCATAAGGAACTTCCGTTCTCTTTCGTCCAGCAAAGCTCACTTCAATATCCAAAGACCCGAGGTAGGCTTGGCTACTTTGGCTGAACGCATCGTATAACTGTACCTGCACCATATCGGTCAAGGCAATTTGCGCCCATGTCCTTTGCGGGTCGGACATACTGATATGACCTTGAGGGAAGCCCTCCATGGGACGAGCGGAAAACACGTATAATCCATTGACAAGAATCAGGACATCGGTACCATCGCGAGATCGAGGGATATCACGGGGAGAAACTGCAACACTATTACAAAATAGAATACCGTTAGATACCATCCCATGTTAACGACCGAGGAAGAGATATCAGGACGTACAGGTTTCCATATGTGTATGAATTATCGGGACTTTTGGCAGGGCGTAAAGACCAGGTCTGCCCCTCGCCACCTCTACCTCCGGTAGGTCTAGGAGGCATTGGTCTCTCACCTGGCCTACCCATTGGAGGGCCTCCATGGCTGCTGCTATTCACATTTGCATTCGTCAGTCATAACGTTATCCCCAGGCACATAGAAGGGGTATATATTGAGATTCATACCCTCCGCTCATACCTCCCATTCGGGGATCCTGCCCATAACCGCTGTTATAACCACCTTGTGGCTGTGGAGATCCTTGAGGAGGATAAGACGCATCGCCGCGAGGTTGATTGCCTGATCCGAACGGATTGAACATGCTGCGTGTGATTACTGGTGAGCTGTCAACCGTTTGCGGGGGCTAACCGGCGTATACCAGTCAAGATATTATATAGCGGTGAGATAACAAAGAAATATCTGCAATGCTGGTATTGAGATATAACTTAGAGAATGCCCTTGAAGCTGAAACAGACCTGAAATGTAGTAAGTCTGTTCTTCTTCGTCTTGTTGTTTTGCTCTCTGCCTTCAGGCAACTTCATACATTAAGGGCAGCTAGTTAGGCTTAGTCAGCAGTGTCGTCACTTTTGGTCTTCCTTGCTTTTTGATCTCATGTCAAGAAAACGTCAGAAGGCAGCAAGCTAACTAAAGGACTGGACGATGCCGTTGTAAGTGGGACTGTTTACATGTACTACACTAGGAATTATGCTGATATACTGTTTATAGACACCTTTTAGGGAAGAAGTCATGGAACGTATACAACAAGGACAACGTCGCGAGAGTGCGGCGCGATGAAGCTCGTGCAAAGGCCGAAGAAGAGGAGAAAGAAAGGAAGCAACGGGAAGAAGATGCTGAAAGGAGAGTAGATATCTTACGTGGGAAGATATCGACACCCTTGGGTGAGGATGGTGATGAAAAATCTCACCGTTCTCGCACCCGTGAGAAATTGCATGGAGAGGTCAGACATCGGAAGAGGAGGAGACTTGCTGGGGAAAATGATACAGATCGCGACATCCGGTTTGCAAAGGAAGATGCTGAACTGACGCATCAGCGTGCTGAAATGGAGGCATCTCGTCGGCCCGTCAACGATGCCCCTATTGTAGATAAGTCGGGACACATCAGCTTGTTTCCTGAGGAACCAACATCTCGAAGACGCCGTTCAGACAAGAACCCCGAAGCTGAAGCTGAAACCGCAAGAAAGAACCAAGAGTTTGAAGACCAATATACGATGCGATTCTCCAATGCAGCAGGGTATAAGCAGCAACTAGCCTCTGCACCATGGTATTCTTCCTCCACAGCGGAAATATCTGCACAGAGTACCGGGCTGCCTACTACGAACGTTTGGGGAGATGAAGACCCCAGAAGACAAGAGAGGGAAAAGATAAGGATAGCTACGAACGATCCGCTGGCGGCGATGAAGAAAGGCGTGAAGCAGTTAAGGGAGGTGGAAAAGGAGAGAACAAAGTGGGCCGAAGAGAAGGAGAGGGAACTCAGAGCTCTGAAAAAAGAAGAGAAGGAGAAACGGTGGAGACGAAGGCATCAAGAAAACGGTAATTCGGATGATAGCTTTGATGGATTTAGGCTGGATGCTAGCGTTGAGAAGAGGGAAAGAAGACACCATAGAAGCCGTTCTCGAGATCTAGATCGAGATCGAGATAGCAGAAGAGACAGATCACGGCGCGGTGAGGAGTACCGGAAAAGGCACAGTGATACACATGAATCCAAGCCGAGGCCTGAGAAAACTTCTGTTGCTTGGAGTCAAGCTCCAGGGAAACGATACAGTGCTCAATTCTCAGACACTTGACATAGCAGGCTCTTTATTTTATACCCATTGATACCCATGAACCCCTAATATCTTAACCCAGTTTTATCTATACCCATAGACCAGAAATGGTATCCATCAAGTAACCAGCCCAAAGCCGTAATACCCAGATCTATCCTCGTGTATGTGACCTATGCCAAAGACCACTTCTGGTTTCCAGACATTCCGTCTGAATTCCAGCCAATAGTGATATCCAAAAGGCGTGACTTTTCATCCTTCTTCTGGTACTCGATAGATCCACTAACCACATGTCCCTTCTTCATTGCAGCAGTGGGGTTTTTCTTCTTGTTGATGAGGAAGAGACCTTGTTGCCAATGCGTTTCCTTTCCATCTGGACCAGTTGTGAAGGCTACAATGTCCCGTTTTTTCATTATTTCTGGCAATGCCTCTTCCGGGGTCAGCTTGCTATCAGCCGAAGGCATGAATATGATATCGAACCATACGGCCCAACCATCTAGGGAGTCAATATCGCGGGAGAGTGTAACGGAAAACTCTTTGGTAAATACAAGCTCCTTGACTGTGATGGTGTGAAGTGGCAAGTAGAGGAAGAGCTCTGATTCAGCGGCCATAATATCAGGCCTGAGGCTGCGGACAATAGCTTCGTCATGCACGCCTTCAAGCATACTAGACATGTTGAAGCCATAAATTGATTTCCAGAAAGTGATGTGTTCCTGAACGAGGTCTGCAGAGGCCACCGGCGCAATACGGATAGTTGCATGTGAAGGGACCATGAGACCGCCGGGTACAAGATAACGGTCGCGAGCCCAGAGAACAGAATCAAACATAGCCTCGAAAAGGAGACAGTAGCCCATCCACTCAGAGACGATGATGTCGACCTGCTTCACGGGGAGTATGACTTCTTCAATTTTCCCACGCAGACATCTATACATCTTGTTAGATAAAGGTCATCAAGAGACGGCTGTCAAAGGTTATACTTACGTGATGACTTTATCAAATCCATTCTCGTATACAATTTCTCGTGCCTTGCCGATGATGTCTGAGTTATCCACAGCAATGACTTGTTTTGCGCCGGCTTTAGCACAGAACATGGACAAGATACCCGTTCCACAGCCAACATCTAGAACCACCTTGTCCTTGAACAAGTGCTTGTTATCATATATGAAATCACGGTACGCATCCGTTCGAATGGAGTCCTTGATCATTGACTCGTGGATCGCTGTTGTTGTTAGCCCAACCCATCAGACCAAGGTTTGCTAGGTTGTGTGTGTATACGCACCATTATAGGCATACGAGGTGAAGTAGGTCTTCTCTGCTTCTTGGAAAGATCGTGAACTGGACCGATCTACCTTACTACTGCTCTCACTCTCGTCTTCTATGGATTGGTTTAGGGCCTTCTGCACCATCTGCTTATACTCAGCAAATTCGCCGCGGAGGTTGCTGAGTTCATTTTCCAGTTCCTTTATCCGTGCTGGATCAGTCATCTTTTCCAGTTTTTCTGTAACCTCTTGTTGTTCTCCAACTGTCAGGTCTGCAATATCGTCTAAACTGTACAGCAGCGCATCGTCCTCCAGGACGGGCTTAAGGTACTTCTCGTCCTCGAACAGCGCTGCGCTCGAGACGTCGGGCTTCGTGTTACCGTTCTTCACCTCTGAGCGGATATAATTAACCAGCCTGATAGTTCCAAGGAAATCAAGTCCTATATATGAAGCGATTAGCAACCAGGCTCGTACTGTGGAAAGTGGCCAGCCTGAGTACACACCCAGCTCCTTTTGCACGCGAACAAAATCGAACCCGAACTTCTCCTTGCATTCGTCTAGCATTAAACGAGCATCAGGGTATATCTTATCTGTGAAAAGGCCGACGACGGGCTCGCTCTCTTCTTCAGGCTCTACATCCTCCCATCCGTCGTCGCGGGTAACATCGAGGGGCTCTTCCGGCACCGAGTCGTCACTGTCGCTATCTCGGTCATCGTGAGTGGGCTGAGAACTCATTATTGCAGGCAGAACAAGATAGAATATTCTTGATTAGGCAGAGTCAGTGAGTAGTTAGACTTAGATATCCGCGGTGGAATTTTGTAGCTGTCTCTCTGAATATTGTATTGCTAAAAGAAAAATATCGAGATACCCAGCTAAATATTTAATCTGAGATGATTTTCTGCGCGGGTGGGGCAAAATGTATTATTCAACTCGTTAACTGCCGCAGAGCTCCTTTAGCCTGTGACATCAACATCAACATCATCCCACCCCCCTACCAAGTACAGCGCCTATATAGGTGGGAGTACGGGAGAAACTTGATGTACAATGATGATATAAACTAGGGAGTGGCCTTTTACACTGATATCTCCTGCCTCTATCCACTACATTACACTGCTGCGCGGCGCTGCTATTTCCCTTGGGCTGAACCACATCCTATGAGCAGTCTCTCAGAAATAGAAGAGAAAGAGAGAAATATCAGGCCTATTTTTATCCAGTGATGGCGTTTCTTTTCAACCGGAGTAGACAGCGGCAGCCTGCAGAGGTTGCAAGGACAACCAAAGACCTGCTGGTCAAGCTGCGGGATGTCCCAGGAGATGCAAAGGTGAGCCACTCAAATGCCCCTCAAGTATCTGACAGACATGACTACGGATGGAATACTCATATAATTGGTAGACTGAAGAAGACCTAGCTAAGCAGCTGGGCCACATGAAGTTGATTGTCCAGGGGACACAAGGTCCGGCTGTACTCCTATTCAATGCTCATTCGTACCATGTGTATAAGCTAACCCAGAGGAATAGAGGTCGATACATTACCAGACCAAGTACAGCAGCTTGTACATGCATCACTACAGGAAGACCTCCTCTACGAACTTGCGCGATCTATCCCTAATCTACCGTTTGAAGCCCGCAAGGACACCCAGACCATATTTTCGCATATCCTCCGGTTCAGACCAGACACATCGACCACGGCTCCAGCCATACCTAATTCTACAGGCGGTGGAGGCGCTGCTCCTGTGTCATCCACTTCCGGTGACCCGCCCGTCATTTCGTACATTGTTCATAAGCGACCCGAGATCCTAACACAACTATGTCGAGGGTATGAGAACAACAAGAGCGCGATGCCGTGCGGATCCATTCTACGGGAAGCGCTGAAGTACGAGGTGGTGGCTGGTATTATCTTGTATGATGAGTCTGGAGAGGGTGAAAGGGCCATACGACTGAACGAGATACAACCAGGGAAGAAACAAAGCGGTGAGGGACTGTTTTGGAGTTTTCTGGGTTGGATTAACCAGAGCAGTTTTGAAGTCAGCGCAGATGCATTTACAACGTTTAGGGTATATTTTCGTCACTTTTCTACGTTATTCGTCTGATAACTAACATAGTGGTAGGATATCTTGACTCGTCACAAGGCACTGGTGGCCGGCTACCTGAGCGCCAATTTCGACTTGTTCTTCAGCAGATACAACAACATTTTGGTGCTATCTGATTCGTATGTAACGAAAAGACAGAGCATCAAGCTCCTAGGCGAGCTGTTGCTAGATCGGGCCAACTACAATGTCATGACGGCATATGTGGACAGCGGTGACCACTTGAAGCTATGCATGAATCTACTTCGAGACGACCGCAAGATGGTGCAGTACGAGGGCTTCCATATCTTCAAAGTAAGAATCTTCCTTGATCTAGCAATATAATATATAGATCTTCAGTTAACATGGTATAGGTATTCGTAGCCAACCCAAACAAGAGCGTGGCGGTACAGCGAATTCTGATCAACAACCGAGAAAGACTGCTGAAATTCCTGCCCAAGTTCCTGGAGGACCGGACGGACGATGACCAGTTCACAGATGAGAAGAGCTTCCTGGTACGGCAGATAGAAAATCTTCCAAGTCAGGCACAGGCACAGTGACGAGGGGCGCAAGAGCTATCATTGGAGATATCACTAAAGGCGCGCTTGGATGTTTTAATGTGGATATAGAGATCCTAATACAATGAAGCAGTCAGTACAGAACCGTGATCCAGTTCTCCTGTAGGTGATGTGCTTTCTCTGCATATCTATCTATCTATCTTATCTACCAACAAGTTACCTGCTCTCTTACTACTGCTACTAGTTCTGCATGTTCCCCACTGCGACTGGTGGCAAAACACCCGAGGTTAGCCGAGGCAGCAGAGCGCATCTAGAAGAACAACAAGCAGCAGTCAGACTGAGGCGAATGAAGCAGACAGGAAGACAAGCCACCCTTGTTGCTGCTTGCGGTCTCACGTCTCTCCAGATCTTCTGCTATCCAGGGGAGCCCCCTCCTTTCGGAAAATACTCAGGGCTAGGGCTAGGGCAAGGGGCTCGGTGTTTACCCTTGCTTACCTAAGCATCCGTCGGGCCGAAGCATGGCAGTCGAAGGGCGTTTTTTGCGGGGCAAAGAGATCAGGAGGGAAAAAAGCCGAGCGTGGAGGGGGAAGTCGAATCCCTACAGGGTACATATATAGCGAAGAGGCTATTTCTCGATCTCGATCTCTTCCGACACTAGACACCAGACACCACCCCACGCTCATTCTCCCAGCACCCTGACCGCAACGACACGAACCTCAGGAACACCAGGAACAACACAGCTAAACTGAAACTGACCATGTCTACGATCCCGGTTGGCGAGTACATCTTTCGCCGTCTACATCAGCTCGGCATCCGCAACATCGTCGGAGTCCCTGGCGACTTCAACTTGAATCTGCTCGACCATGTCTACAGCGTGCCGGACTTGCGCTGGGTAGGCACCTGCAACGAACTTAACGCTGCCTACGCGGCGGACGGATACGCCCGTGCTCGTTCCCTGCCTGGCGTTGTCGTCACTACTTATGGAGTCGGAGAGTTGAGTGCCCTGAACGGCATAGTGGGCGCATACAGTGAATACATACCCGTCATCCATATCGTAGGAAACACTTCGAGAGACATGCAGCGCAACCACACACGTATCCATCATACCTTATGGATGGACCAGTGGGATCACCGAACGTATCAGAAAATGGTTGAACCCGTAGCTGCCGCGACCGCCTTCCTGGATGATGAGAGTAAGGTAGCAGCTGAGGTGGACCGGGTGATTGAGACGTCTATTAAGAGGAGGCTTCCGGTATACCTGTTCGTGCCGCTGGATATTCAGGATAGCCCGATTGATGCTTCCCCGCTAGAGAAGCCGCTTGATCTTGCTGTGAGGAATGAGGGCAGAGAGGCAGAGGAGGATGAGGTTGTTGAGGAAGTCATCAAGCGTATGGGTCAGGCTAAGGACCCCGGTGTCTTGGTTGACATGTTGATGTCCAGGCATAACTTGTACAAGGAAACAAGCGAGCTCATCAAGCTGCTAGCTGCACCAGTAAGTCTGCCACTGGTTTTCTTCTTCTTCCTCTACCTCCTTTACTTCGTCTTCTTCGTCTTGCTATTAATTATATGCTAACAGGTGATAGTGGTACACAACACCGCTAGGTAAATCAACTATGAACGAATCCGATCCTCACTTTGCCGGCCTATACTGCGGTATCACATCCAGCAATCCTGCTCTCAAGGCCCAGATAGAATCCCACGATGCCGTCTTACACCTCGGCCCCTTCAACGTCAGTGGAAACACAGGTGGATTCAGTACAGCGCTTCCAGCTGATAAGCTTATCGAATTGCATCCCGGATTCTGCTCCGTGGCAGGAAAGGTGTGGAAGGGCCTTGACTTCAGGCCTGTTATTACAAAGCTCCTTGCCAGGCTCACCAAGGAACCCATCCAACGAACGGTAGACCTCGCCAAGATCCTCCCCAAGACCTCAGAGGTAAGTTTAGTTCCTGTCATAGTAAAGTTACCCTTTTTTTTTTTAACACGCCCCATAGAAGCCGTCGGATGACAACTGCACTGATCCCCTGGACCATGCTCGCTTCTGGGACCGTCTCTCCAAGTTCCTACGCCCCAACGACTTCGTCATCGCCGAAGTTGGCACCTCCCAGTTCGGCTCTCAGGGCCTCACACTTCCCGACAACACGACATACTTCTCTCAGCTCTACTACAGCTGCATCGGCTTCTCGGTCCCTGCCACATTGGGTGTCCTCCTCGCTCGTCGCGAGACCGCCAACCCAGGCCGTGTCATCCTCCTTGTCGGTGATGGCAGTCTACACATGACCGTCCAGGAGATTGGCACCATGGTCCGAGAGGGATTCAAGCCCATCATTATCGTAGTCAACAACAAGGGCTATACCATTGAACGGCTCATCCACGGCCCCGAGCAGCAGTACAATGATATCTCCGAGATGTGGGACTACCAGAAGATGCTCGGCTTCTTTGGTGCCAAGGACAGCAGAAGCTACGCTGCGCGCACTTACAAGGAGCTTGGCGCCATCTTGAACGACGAGACCTTCCTCAAGACAGACGTCATCCAAGTCGTTGAAATCTTCTTTGATATCATGGACTCGCCATGGAACTTGACTGACTTGCTCAAGCTCAAGGAAGAGAGACTGGCCAAAGCTAGGGCTGAGAAGGAGAAAGCCGCTGCGCTCGCGGCTGGAAGCGCAACTGCTAACTAGGTAACTACCTCAGTTACCCAGATATCCAATAAATAACCACGGCGAAAGAGAATAAAAGCGTAGAGGCTGACTGGGCGGCAGGCTTTCCTTTCTTCTTTTCCTTTCTTCCTCTTCCTTTGTATGAGATATAGAATAAAACAGTTTGGCTAGAAGAAAGAACAAGTACACAAGCAGTTGATAAAAGAACCTTGGTCGTTGAAAGTTAAAAATGACTAACCACTGACTAAGCATAAACAAGGCAGGGTCACATGCCACTGTCTTACTAATCACTTTAGTCACCGCTTACCTAATCTCTCCTTTTTTTGCTTTTTTGCTTCCTTTTTTCTCTCCCCCAGAAAATCAGCGAACAACGAAAACTGATTCGATGTCAACGACGAACGAACCCGGCATCCCACGATCCCCTCGATGCTGGCGCCATCAGACAGCTTAGTTGGGGTATATCAGAATTTGATATACTCAGAGGCCGCTGAAACACCGAGCGACATGTCCTAGCTTCCTCGCGGCGACCGCAGCCCAACGCGAGGACTAGATCCCAAACGCCCAGTCACTCCTTTTTTTTTAACCGTGGTACCATACCGCTGCATAGTTTCAGACTCGCTTGCAATCCACGATATTTTGATCTCCCCCCGTTCGTACATATATTGCAAACTCACGCTTTCGGGAATGCCGCTACAGGGTCGCCATCGAAGCCCTCGTCTACATTTACCTCTCGACTCGCTAGCTATTGATCCTGCGTCCCTGTTTTTGCGCCACCGTGGTGTGCGCAAAGACCTTGGTGTGGGCCAGCTATATAGGAAAACAAAATCCGGGCAGATACAATCCAGGCGAACCGGTTACGCAGCATGGCAACTACCGCGCCCTCTGAGCCAGTGCTATCACCGCCGGCATTGTCATCTCCGGGCCCATCCTCCTACGCGGAGTCCGTTAATTTCGAACCTCCCTCCTTTGTGGCAACTCTCGAGGACCCGAAACTTCGAGACAAACTAGATGTCCAGGCTGAAACGACACCGGAACCACTTAGTCGGCCATCGTTCTCTGGCTCCTTCAGGAGCTTCAATGCCAACGCCCGCCCTTCTTCTGCCTGGTCGCGAATCACTTCCTCTGCCTTTGCCTCAAAAGAGCGTCGCGCGACTGTCTCTGCCGGGAAACATTCGCTGAATCTCGCGAGAAGCAAACAGAGCGTCGATAGTGATATACCCAGCATCATTATAGACGAAGCCCCCAATCGACCCAGTTCAAGAAGATCTTTGTCTGAAAGAAAATGGAGCTCGGTGCGCGGTACTAGAGGTGAGGTAGCTCTAAGGAAACGATCTGGTATATCCAGCCTTAGCTCTAGTAATATCCCACCAGTTCCCCCAATCCCACCCTTCCAAGGCATCAAGATGGATATTCCCAGCCCGTCGTTGGGTGATATCACCAGCTCTACGATTGACGAGACAAACGAGTGGAGTCCTCCCACAGCATCCAACCCGAAGCTGCTCAGTGCAGATGAAGCACACACAATCTCACCTACCAGGAAAGTGAGCTCCTCGAGTATGCGGAATTCCAGCACACGTCGGATTCGATCCGCGAATTCGCTGAGGGTTGTGAGATCAGGAAGTGGAAGCGGGGGTAATATTCGTACCCTATCAGTGGATGAAGAGATGTTGTCCCGAAAAGTGAGGTTGATGTATGAAAAAGGCGAGGATTTCATTAGCGAGGCGGAACTGAGCCAAGCTTTAGATGAGGATGAGAGCATTCTTATGGACAAGGATACGGAGAAAGAAGCCTTCGAAAATGTTGACGATTCGCCTACAAACGGAAATTCAGCCTCTACTGATCCTACAAGTGAGAAGTCGGAAACTGCATCAATGAACACAGTCAGCCCTGCCAGAAGGACCAATACAGTTGAGCGGGAAAGCAACGAGCTTGCCGGTGGTTTGGAGGACTGGAATGACATTGAGAACTGTTACGTCGATAGGTACGGTTTCATCATTCCTCATCCTGAGGATGGCGAGCCAGAAGCGCAAGTGCCGCAGCCACTACAACGGGTCTCGACCAGCTTGATGCTTGCCTCTGCCACACCCAGACGGAAGCGTACTATGGCCAAACGCCCGCCTTCAACAGCCGGGGCTGCAAGTATCCGCTCTTTTGCCGGCCGTTCTTCGTCCCAGCGAGCTAGCGACCAGCCAATGCGTCCCACTTCTTCCCAGAGCTCATACCAGCCTCATCTCTCGCGTACCACCAGCAGCCTGCGTTATGCAGCCAACAAGCTTCCCCACAACCGTTCTCGCAAACTCTTGGACGAAGCTGGCGACATGCTAACCAGCCCTACCCAAAAGACCAATAGCTTCAGCTTCTCCGAGGACGACACAACTTATTCCAAGGCCATGAGGAAGAAGGAATCCGAGCGTGAAGACAAGTGGCGTAAAATGGCCAAGCTTACCTCCAAGGCCAAGGACGGTTCTGGCATGACTTTCGAATTCGACGTTACCAGCACCAAGCTCATCGAACGTACCTGGAAAGGTATCCCAGACAGTTGGCGTTCAACAGCATGGCACGCCTTCTTAGCTGCCAGTGCCAAGAAACGTCCTGGCAGCCCTACAGAAGACGAGCTGATTAGAAAGTTTAACGAGCTGCAAGTTTATCCTTCCCCAGACGACGTTCAGATTGATATAGATGTCCCTCGTACCATCAGCAGCCATATCATGTTCCGCCGCCGATATCGTGGGGGACAAAGACTGCTTTTCCGTGTGCTACATGCCATGTCTCTTTATTTCCCAGAAACCGGGTACGTGCAGGGCATGGCAGCACTTGCCGCCACCCTGCTAGCTTACTATGACGAGGAAAACGCCTTTGTCATGCTTGTCCGTCTCTGGCAATACAGAGGTCTCGATCGGCTTTATCGTGAGGGTTTTGCTGGTCTGATGGAAGCATTGAATAATTTTGAAAAAGACTGGCTAGGCAATGGAGAGGTAGCTGAGAAACTGGTGAGTTATGATATCTCTTTTGTCGCTAATCCTTCCATGACTTCTAACGCTATACCCACCGTTTAGACCGAACTCGGAATCCCTCCAACCACCTATGGAACCAAATGGTACCTGACTCTCTTCAACTATTCCATTCCATTTGCTGCGCAGCTGCGAGTATGGGATGTATTCATGCTTCTAGGAGATTCCGGAGAACCAATCCAGCCTACCGACACCACCAGTACCAATGGTCACGTCAATGGTACTAGTACCAGCACCGAAACCGGACCTGCTCAGCCTGCGGCAGACCCCTTCGGTAAGAGTCTTGATATCCTACACGCAACCTCTGCAGCCTTGATCGACGGAATGCGAGATATCATTCTCGAATCCGATTTTGAGAACGCAATGAAAGTTCTCACTAGCTGGGTCCCGATCAACGATATTGAGCTATTCATGAGAGTTGCCAGAACCGAATGGAAAGTTCACTGCCGAAAGAAGGGGCATTAAGCGCCATACCCTTCATCTCAAACCTACATCCCGAACTACTTACTACATTCCTTTCATTAATCCATTCTTCCACGGAAGAGTAATCCAAACACCACCGCCGCCTACACGCATTTAATCTCTTTTTGTCTCGCCTTTAATTTCTAACTTCCGGTACACCCTTATCTCACATTTTTTAATATCAGTCAATCCCTACCCTTTTTCCCGTGATATATATACTTCACCCTATTCCACCCTTCCAAGAGACATAATCGCCACAACCCCATACTCATTCTATTTACTAACGCACACTCCCGTATGGGATTTATTATGTTGTCATGCCTTTCCTTCATTGACCATTCTTCTTACTACACCTTGCCATTTAATCTCAGATGAACTTAATTCCCGCCTTCTTTACGTGGCCTCTTCATTTCTTCCTTTCTCTTTTCAATTCCTTTTCTTTGATATTAAATCTACAATATATAGATTTACTGAGATACCCTCGACATCTATCCTACTTAATATGCTTAAGCTTTTACTTTGTCTTTACCATATACTACTCCCCCTTTAGTTACTTCATTTATATTTACCTATTTACTCATTTTATCGTTAACTGCTTTTATAACATTGAGTTAGGCTGCGCTTTAAGATACTCAATTTGTATGCATACACCCCCGCCCCAACATATAGAGAACCGCCCCATTCATCTAATCTTGATAGGACTGCGCCTGGCCTTAGTCGTCTCCAAATCTTGAACACTCGAGAAATATTATATTATAAGCATTTAAAGTCGAGCCTTATGCCACTAATGATCAAATGATCAAGCAAGTGTGTGCCTGTTTTCCCTTTATCTGCCTCTTCATCTTGACAAACTTCCCACGTTATTTATTGAGTTTCGGGCGGGTGACGAGTCTCCACAGGTGCGGGTTCGCAACCTTATTTTTCCAATGTCCGAGTACCTCACTTTTCTTTCCTTTACTTTAATGAACCAGTTAACGGACATCTTATGAGATTTTATGGCGGAACCAACAAAGCCAGCTTTCCATGGAGTCTGGTACTGAGATGCAAAATATCCCTGAATACCACGAGATGCACCAGCCTTGCTTGATACAACATCCTTGCCGCCTGAAGGATTTAGGCGGTGGGGTACACTGACGATCTGCCTCTTCTCAGTGGATGTATGTAATTGATCCCAGAGATTACGAAGACGATGTGCAGAAGTTCTTTCCTCAGCCAAGCTTGCGGCAGCTTAAGATAGGGGAAATCGGCATATATTTACTATCTTTCCCCCATCCTTCACCTCTTGTGGCCTTCTTTAACTCCATTGTTTGCTGTTTTCGTCCCTCCCTCACGCCGACGAGATGTTATTGTCAAGGAATCTCTTCTATTTGCTCTTGACTGCGCCTCTTTGCGCTGGAAGAGAGTGTTATTTCCCAGATGGCTCCCTTGCTTCTGACGATGTGCCATGTTTTTCAGGTGCTCGTGACACACATTGTTGTGCGAGGTCCTCTATCTGCATGACCAACGGTTACTGCCTTGAATCAACCCAGCCATATACTCTGGGACGTGGATCATGCACCGACAAAACCTGGAGCACGTCGTCTGGGTGTCCAAACCCTTGCTCAAAAAGTACATCCCTACAACCGCCAAATATCTGTGATCCCACTTTAAGGTGGCCGACTGCTAACATCTTCCTGGACAGTAACCGCTACTAAGAGCACGGGTTGCTCAGTTCCCCTCTACAGCTTCCTGGATGGTAAGGCCTTATACTGTGCGAACTCTATCATCGCCAATTCGTCAAGCAGCACAACATGTGCCGAGAACACAGATCCCTTTCCTATCAATCCAGGCGACGTTATCACCGATAAAGCTCTTCTTGCGAGAGCATCTTGCACTGTACCCAGGCTTAATCCAACCTCACCCGGCAACGACCTAATACCTGCTTCCGCTGCCAGTATGCCTGTTAACCACGGAAACTTATCGAACACCTATGTGGCTATTGGCGCTGGCGTCGGTGTCCCTCTTGGCGTCATAGCCATAGGTGCCATAGGCTGGGCCCTTTATGAGCGGAAAAAGCGCCTCCGTTTACTTAAGACGTATGCATCTCAACCCGTGGAAGCACAACAACCTATGTATCAACACCAAGCACAGCCTATAGCGACACAGCCGTATGAAATGCCACCGAGCTCAAAACCCTCCCATATCCACAGCTCCTCGGTTTACATATTCTCCTCGGGGGGAACCGGAGGTGGGACGGGGTGGAACGGGGCTACTTTTCTTCATCCATTTGGCTTCCTTCGAAGAAGTGTATCTTATTTATTTTCTGTCATTTCTGCCTACCAACTGGCACGTGTCCAAACTTTTGATACCCGAAAACTAGGCAAAGATATGTCTGTCCGATGTATTCCATAAGTTATTTATCAATGTGTCCATAATATGCTCTTTTGGAATGTTATTTCAGCACTAATTAGTCAGGGGCTTGAGTATATCTTTGTTATATTTTTTTACCCCTTGGTTTTGTTTATAGAGCCACTGGCAGGCTATATACTAATACATCTTTTAGAGCTATAGCAAGACATTTGCAGACTAGGGAATCTTAGCCAACCTTTTTGATTCCATCTTGGTAGTAATAATGCAGAGGTGAATCAAATGCGTGATTGGCACATTGTAAACCCAGGGACTCTAGGTGTGCTGATAGTCAGCAAATGGCACCGTTATAGCAAAATTGATCAGACCCACAGGGCATCAGGTAGAGGCACAGCTTATTTCTAATAGCCTACTTTAGTAGGACGTGCATTTGCATAAGCCATACCTAGTAAGCTCAGAATCTTAGTGAAGGTTAGTGAATAGTTAACTATGCAACTTGACGGGGTTGGCGTAGTGATGATATCAGCGTATTGAATATGAGTTCCTCTTTCATACAGGTTGGCTAGAATAAAAAAATACTGGTACCATGGGAAGAATAAACGAATCGAGTATCAGACCCAGCCAAGGTAAGGTATTCATGGCGTGCAAGCGGGAGTAACCCTAATCCTAAGCCGCTTATAGTTGCGGGATATCCGCCAAAGCTACCAGAAACTTCATGGCCCTACCGTAACTGACTTGGTGTTTGTACTTGTCATTATTTTTTCTGGCATTCCTTCAAGTAGAAAGCTTTCTAAAAATTCATTTTAGGATTTATTCAACTACTGGAACACCTAGTTAACCTTGGAGCACTTTGGGCGTCTAGTTACGCCACCTACGATATGTTCAGTCTTCAAAGCTTGCCTATGACCTAAAGTCTAATGTAACCAAATGATTTAGGCTCAACACGCAAAAGTACCCAGCCCCTTATAGTATATTTTACTAAGTAAGCAGAATGGACATTTTCAACCTGGAGTTTGAAAAAGCATCTTTCGGCTTAAGTATATGTTGAGCTTTGCTTTAAGGAAAGTACTTATTCGTGCGCTCATAATCGCTTCCCACAATGAAACATGGCGGTTTTCAGGACCTGGCAGTCCGCACGACTGACTGGGTATATTAAGATGCGCAAGCTGGCGCCATGCAGCCAACCTAAGGTTCCCGTATTCCCTAGCACCACTGGAGGGGTGAATGATAGTTGTGAAACACGTCGATATCTGGTATCGAGGAAAGAAGCGAGACGAATAACCGATCAAGAGCCTATTGAGAGTGTTATTGAACTCAAAAACTATGGACCCCCAAGCAATTAGAGCAAAGTTATGCTTATTCCGGTTGTTGACAGGTATCATGTCATCTAGCGTGATGTTGTAGCGCCCTGTATGAAGTAGCTACCCTACCTGGGCACTTAACCGGCTAGCGAAAGGAGAGAGCTGGAAGCAAATGAAATTTGTCAGTTAACTACCACGCAAGCTTAGAAATCAATACTGGTATTATATCATGTGCACCTATCCGTCACCAAGAGAGTCTGGTTCAACAAGGCCAAGGATAGTAAAGTGGCACCAAGCACTTCAAGTGTCCCTGCAAGCCTGATTCAAACATCACTTCAGGCGAACGCCTGCATGACAATGAATATAGCAGCAATACGGAGTAGTTGCGATATCATAAACTAAACCACCCCCTCTCTCTATATTAGGACCATCTCGAACACAATCTTTTACGGTTTAAAGAATGATTTGAAATATTACCAGATTCACGAATCATTGTCGATCCGTATTCTTTCGACATATGTCTTTCAGCCCTTGCGGAAGATCATTCCAGGTTCCACAACAGTGAGATCCCAAGATTGAACAAGATATGCCTTGGCAGAAGGAATTATCGGCCTAACTTACTAACCATAACCTACTAAAATGGCACAATCCTTCCTCCTCCAAGCCTTGGGCGCCAGGCATGGTCTGACTCGGACGATGATATCCGTAAGCCACATGTGATATCATATGTGGCTTCTGCTTTGCGCTGTGGCGGAATCAGGTAAGAGACCCTGTCATTGTATGGAGTCAAGAATGTGAGGTGAGTGTGTAGCCTATTGAGCTGAATATATTATTGTTCGGTTACCTGCATGGAGGGCAGGAAGCCACGGCTCCTGGGTAAAGTAGTTAGATAAATACACAAATTGCCTCCGCTGAGCTGCTTTTTATGCATGGCCTTAGCCACATTGGGTATCTAGGTTTCAAGAAACCAAGCAGAGAGAGATGGACCAAGTTAGAAAGACACTAAGAAAATGGAATATAAAAGGCAAATGAGATCCTAGGGAAGCCAGTCTAGGCAGTAAAAAGGAAGATTGACGAAGAAGAGGAATAAATAATAGACAAGTAAATGGACTAAATCAAGGCATTATAAAAAGGCAAGTCATGAGCGGACATCAAAGTAAAACAAAGAAAGAGAAAAGCCGATCCAACGTTATGCCGTTAGAAATTATAATTAAATCAAACCCATGGTATATAGAATGGCATAGCGAATGGGGACGTGGAACGAATAAAAACCAAGGCAAAAATCAAAAACATAGGAGTAGCCAACTGTATAGAATACGAAAATGGGAAGGCATGAAACAGATATGAGAGGAGGGATATGACAAAGTAAAATGAGCAAGAAAAGAGTGTCCAAAAAAATAAAGGCATCAGATCAGTTAGCCCGGGTTAGCTAATCGGTAATTCATGAAGAGAGTCCAGCCACTGTATGGCTGGTTTTCAATTGCGGAGGGAATCGCCATTGGGAACCGGGCCGTTTGTCTCATTAGGGGTTAGTGAATTTGATGCAGTGTGGTATGACACTGTGCTTTCTCCACTACTACCAGAGTTTGTGGAGGCGATGGCTCCTCTAGAAGCAGGATTGTCTGATTCATTCACGGTGGGGGGTTCTCTCTCTCGCGTAGTATCTCGAGTATCGCGGGACGACGGCGAGACGTCACGCGAGGGAGAATGAGAGCGGCTAGTAGTTGGAGTCTGGGTCGGATCCGATGGGCGTACTAGGGAAGATACTTGCATTTGTGTCTGGGCCATGGCCTGGGTTTGACTCCCCTGCAGCTGTTGTTTTGAGCTAGGGCTGGGATTGATATGCGAAGTGCTATTATTCCGGGTGTTGATCTTGAATGTGTACTCCCCAGCCGAGCGAGATTGAATGGCCGAACTGCTTTGTCGGCGCCTTTCCGCGCCTGCTCCAGAATGTGAGCGGTTGCGAGGGTTACGGCCAGCCTGAGAAGTAGTATCGTCCGTAGTAGCAACCTCAGAAAGGTGTGATGGGGGAGGTGGAATGGGAGCGTGGGGGCCTTGCGCTTTGCGCTTCTTAGGCGACTGCTGGTATTCGTTTCGGAGATGGTGGGTCTGGGAGGAGGCTGAGGCTGGGTGGCCAGAGTGTGGAGAGCTGTTGGGGCTTTTACCCGCAGGGGTAGTTGGTTGAGATTGTGGAGGAACCCAATGGTGAAAGGAGATAGAAGGGGAGGTCTGTTGCACTTGATGAGCAGCCGTAGCGTCTTGTTTTGCCGAAACGAGCTGAGAGGAAGATGGATGCGAGTGTGAGTGGGATGACTGCGTGTGCGCGCTTTATGGCTCCAGATGACGGGGCAGAATTATTCCTTTGTTGAATAGGATGGTGCATGTCAGAAGCAGTAGAAAGGCGTGGAAGAGAGTCAGTGTTCACTTGAGGGTGGTGAGGCCCTGGATTGGGTGCGTATATAGTTATTGGGATGTGATGACGTGAAAGGTTGTGTGTGTGATGTTGATGTGAGCCGCGCTGATGCTGA